GTTTACCTATGCCACCATCTTGACCAGCGAAAATATTTGTGTTGGATAAATCTGTAGATAAAATGGAGCACGATGTGTGGTAGCACCAGAGAAGTAATATTTCACTTTAAAAAAAAAGATGGACTGGGAAGGCCTGGCACAGCATATTTCCTAATATTGTTCTTTTGAGCTGTCCCTGAGCCATTTCTTCGTGTGTTTATACATGGGCTCGAGCTCCACCCAGTTAGCATGTGCTGGGCGCTGGGCCCTGGGCATGAGGTGCAGCCTTCACTTCCCAGAAGCTCCCAATCCAAAGGGAGAGATCAGCAACCACAGAAAACTTGGAAAGAAAGTCGCTTGCAAGATGACTTCAGATTCTAGACACTGTTAATGTTTAAGCTGGAATGTACCTCAGAAGAAGGTAGATGACATATGCTGTTATTTTTCATGGTTTTAGAGAGACAGGCTCGTTAAGGTTCAAAGTGTTTTAAAGTTTGGAAGTTGGAGCCCTTGATGGCTGGACATAGAAGCAAATGAAGTGGCCGGCTGCCTGTGTGGTGGGATGTTGAGACTTCTGTAAAGCCCTGCCTCTTCCCAAGAGTCCCTTCCCCAATAATAATGTAACTAACATTATTATTACTTTTTAAATTAAGTCATCAAAGACTTGCATTAAAATGCCGATGCTTTTTGGAGGGGAATCCTATTGCTAATGTCACAGTCACAATAGTTTAATAATCCTCTTAACCAAGTAAACAATTTTGTCTAAGTGTTCCTTCCAGTATTGCAGGTAGTTTTTGAAGGGTGCCTAGGGGAAGAAATTACAGAGCATGGAGTGTAGAAGTTGGCATGCTTTGCAGTTTGAAAAGCACACCCTGTGGAATGTATTGATTATCTTTTATATGCAGGGCACAGTCTACTGCCCTGTGGGAGGGATTCTAAGACATAAAAGACAGTATCTGGCTATAAATAGACTACATTTTCTTAGGAAAAATAACACATCTGTATAAGAATATCTGATCACATGATAACAAATGAAGCCAGGCAGAGAGTGAATTCCTAATCCAAAACACCAGTAAAATGTGTGTAAGATTTGAGACGAGGAGACCCACTTCCAGCTGGGCAGACACAGGAGCAGCGTCACCGAGGAGATGAGATTTGGAGTGCACTTGAGGATGAAAGCAAACATTTGGGCAAAGAAAACAAAGCAAACACTTGAGGGGGGAGCTGGGGAATAGGTTGAATGGAGACAGCAGAGACAGGTGTGGTTTGGGGACAGTGAGATATACAGACAACTTTGTTTGGCATAAAGGGTCAACAGAAAGAAGGAGTGAGGAGTTATATTGAGGAGATGGTGCAACATCTCCATTTTCTTTCTGGGGAGTTCAGACTTTATTCCACCAGCCTGGAGGATCCAGGGAAAGGTAATGAGCAGAAGAGGGACAGGTTCACCACTGTGCTTTAGACTACCCCAGCTTAGTGATGGAATGCTGAATGGGTTGGGGGAGTGGGACTTGGGAGTCAGAGGTCAGATGTGAGGTTAATCCACTTGACAGTAATAAAGGAAGTGCTAGTATAGGTGGACAGGAAGTGACAGGTGTAAGAGTCACTGGGAAGGAAGAGCCCCTCAGACTTGACTACAGTCCTCTGGCCATAAACCACCACTTTAGTAATGCAAGAAACAGAGGCAGTATAGCCTAGCCTTTATGATGATTGTCTTTGGAGTCAGGGTCAGACATTCTTGGTTCAAATCCCCAACTCTTTCACAACTAATTTTGTGCCATCGAGCCAATTACTTAACCTCCCCAAGCCTCAGTTTTCTCACAAGTAAAATGAGGTGAGGGATATATACTTCACAGGGATGTTGCAAAGATCAATCAAGAATAAGACGATTACTATAGCGATGGTTGCCCAATTAAAGACAGGCAAGCCAAACATCGCTGAATTCCCTGAGAGAAGCAAAGCTGGAGCTTAATCTAGGAAGAGCTGTATTTTCAAAGACAGAGCTTAAAGCATAAGATTCTTGTTTTATTTTTTTAAAATATTTTTCTTTATTGATTTTAGAGAGGATGGGGGAGGGAGAGAGAGAGAGAGAAATACTGATGAGAGAGAACAATCTGCCTCCTGCATGCCTTCTACTGGGGGTCGAGCCCACAACCTGGGCATGTGCCCTGACCAGGAATCGAACCGGTGACCTCTTGTTGCATGGGTCAATGCTCAACCACTGAGCCACACCAGCTGGGCTAATTTTCTTTTTAAATTAAACTAACAAGGTATCCCACTCTCATCCCACTTACCCCCTATCCTAACTACAAGGTAACCCAGTCAATTCTATGTGTTTCTGTCGTTTTCATGTCTGACCATGTGTTCTGAATGCTTCATTTCTTCCTCCCATTTGCTTTCTGAGTAGCAGGACAAAAGACATTTTGTTTAAAAACTAAATAATGGGCCTCATTGTAGTTGTCAAATGACACGGATTTCAAAAACAAAGCAAAACGTGCTCATCTGCCGGCCGCTGCCTGCCCTGCCACCGGCTCAGTTGGCCTTCATTTGTTCAGTCATTCACCAATTGTGTGCCAGGCACCGTACAAGGCATTACAGGGACATACAGACAGTCAAGGTATTCTTGAGGGATCTCCTGGTTTACCATGAGGGAGAAGATCTGTATACACAGGGTGAGGTGGCAGAATATACATGAAATCCATAGCTGGATAGAGTTTAGTAAGAGAGACTGGTTTTATCTCTGGGAAGGAGGGGACAATATGATGGGCACTCAGGGCTGGGTCTCCAGGGAGCAGAGAAAGGAGAATTAGAGGCTCTGCTTATCCTTTGTTCTTGGTGAGTGGGAAGGGGAGAGGAGGAAGATGGCAGAAGATGAGTGTTCCATGGAGACGCCTGACCATCAGCTCTTGGCTCGTGTCCTCTGGTCATTACGTGACTGCTTTATTTACTAAGGGAAATGATACATAACCCTCTGAGAAACTGAGCGTAAGGTCACACCTCCCTCACTGGCTTCTTAAAATGACACTCAAGAGAAATGGATTTCTAGTCCTGAGCTCTACTGCTTGTTTATTGTATGGACACTGTTAGTTCCATCAGTGACCAGATTTCTTTTTTCACATTGGCTGCTAGATAACTTGAGTCAGGTTTGTGCACACCTGCTGCAAGAACAGCCTTCTGTAATGTGTTTTTCCATCAGCCTTGATTCTGGCTCCATTATATGTCCTACTCTTGTTCCTTTCCCGTCCCCTCCCCATCCTTTCCCCCCGTCTCACATCCATGTGATTGGACTGCATTTTATACACTCTGCCTCATCTGCTGTAATTCCTTTCTGGAACAATGTGGAGGGTAACAAAAGGAAGAATGGCTTCCTCAGAATTTCAGCCTGTTCCTGGGACTAACTCTGCACAAAAATAACAGTTGACGTGCAGAGGGGAAGAAAGGAAAGGAAGCTGCAGGACCATCTAGCCCACGATTTTCCTGACAGTGGTCTTGGGCAAGGCTTTGTAGCCTTGGGGCCAATTGCTCCCCTCCTCAATGTCTAGTTTCTTTGCTGCATGGTGGGAAGCCAGCACCCTCAGAGGTATTTTCCATATTCTTGACCCTATGATGCCATAAGAGAACTGGTGGAGTTTAATAGGGCACCGTGGTTTCGGCCAGTAGTGACATCACCTCTCATGCCCGAGGCAAGGCCCCTGGAACAGAAAGTCTGAGCAGGTGGTTTTCCTCCCCCTCCAGAGCCGCTATGACCCTCTTTGGCCCTTCTTACTCAATAGCCAAGGGAGTGGCAGTTCAGGAGGAAGCCTGCTCAACTCACTCTCCTTCGTTCACTCTTCCCTTACTCCCACTCTGGGTCTGTTGGTCCTTCTAGTAGGGAATCAAGATCTAGAGAATCTTTCTCGCTCCTCTAAGCCATGTCCAGGCTTCTGACCTACCACCACCATCTGGATGCTGTGCTTGTCTTTATTCCTCTTATATACAAACAAGAACTCACCCAGCCAGCCTGGGAAATTGGGCTGCAAGTTCTCAGTAAGTTGCCCAAACCCTCCAGCCTTCCTGCACAGAAACTCTTAGATTTACTGTTTCTTCTGTTCCTTTGCTGAGTTGCATGTCTCACCTGAGTCTTCTCTTTGGTATTTGCCACCTGAGTTAGAGTGAGCACTGCCATTCTGGCCCAGGCCAATGGAACGAGGCCTAAAAACTCTTTGGAGCTATGTTTCAGCAATGATGTTCTCTCCTTGAGATCATTTGCTCACTTTGGTCTGCATCTGATGTTAGCTTCTGACTTTGAGACAAGTTCATTTCTACAAATTTATTGATTTTTTTTTTTTTAAGAGAGAGAGAGGGGAAGGGAGAGAGAAAGAGAAACATCGATCAGCTGCCTCCTGTACACCCCCTACTGGGGATCGAGCCCGCACCCTGGGCAGGTGCATTAAACCCGGATCTCTCAGTCCATGGGGTGACGTTCAATCCACTGAGCCACACCAGCCAGACCATTTCTACACATTTAAATTGTGTGCCTGGTACTGTAATATAGACTTCAGAAATTCCGATGGGTTTTTTTATCTTGTCTCATGTCTATCTTTCATGTCTGTTCTACCATTTCCTTTGCTTCGCTGTTTAATCATTTCTAGGCTCAACTCCCTTTCCCTTCCTGCCACTTTGATCTTACAAACTTCCTCTCCTCTCCTGCCTTAATAGCTTTTGGCTTCAGAGGCATGATTTATGCTTCCTCAAAGGGTGAGGCTTTATTCTCTGAATTATTGTTTCAGTGTGTGTGTGTGTGTGTGTGCGCGCGCGCGCGCGTGCGTGTGCAAGAATCCTCACCAGAGGATATTTTTCCATTGATTTTTAGAGGGTGGAAGGGAGGGAAGAAGGGAGGGGGAGAGAGAGAGAGAAACATTGCGTGTGCCCTGACTAGGGCCGGGGATTGAACCTGCAACCCATGCACATGCCCTTGTGTGGGCTAATGCTCTAACCACTGAGCAACACAGGCCAGGACTGAATTAATGTTTCTTTTGCAGTTCCAGCATGGTAAATCCAGCTTCCACCAAGATTGCTGCATCCCAGGAAAACTCCAGGAACTCTGCCATGTTTCCAGCCAAGGTAGACTGACCTCAGATTTCAGAACTCTCATTTTTGGAGGGAATGTCATTTTTCTCATTTTATCAAAGCACTATGAAATGAAGAAAATTTTGTAGTAATTTTTTTTTTTTTTTTGGTACCAGATATAGATAGTTTTTACTATTTAAGAAGAAGTCACTCTGGTGGTGGGAAAGTTGAACACCACAGTACTGGTATATCATGCAAAAGACCCAGATTGCTTGCCCTAGGAAATAAAACATCTGGAGCTCTCAGGGGCTGCTGCTTTTAAGCCCATGGAATGTGGCTCGGAAGTGCCATGTCAGTTCTTACTCCTCGTCATAGCTTCCTGACTCTCTGTTAGAGGTCTGCTTGGGGGAGGGAATTGCCAATGCACGATACTAGACAGTAAACATTGATCTTTAGTCTTACATTAATTTAAAAATTCTGTTTACTTATCCACTTTCTTCATTAGAATTGATAATCACAATAGTGACCATAAATATTTCAAGATACCTTGATAAGTCTCTTTTAAATCCTTTTAGAAAAGGTCAATTACAGTTATATTTAGCACAGGTTTAATCTAGCACAATGAGAGTCTTATTGGCAGAAAGAACACTGGTGGGAACCTGACCTTATAGTGTCTCAGGTTTACCTTGGGCAGTTCTTTGATACTTCCAGGCCCAAGTTTTTTCTCACTTGTATAAAATGTGAGACATAGATTTCAATGCCTGGCTCTGGTCTAATGTTATAGAACTCTGGAACTGAGCATATTTAATATAACAGCTTTATCTTTTTGTATGACCTCTATAGTAATTCTATGCTACCCTGATTAACCAGGACAAACATTTTTCAGACATGCCTGATAGAATTTCCTGGATACAACTATCAAATATTGGAGCAAATATGCGTTTACTAGCACTGAGTTGCTATTATGACATTGAAAATGAGTGTAATAAACATTGTTTTTCCCCCAGCAAAGGAAGAATCCATTTAATAGCTCCAACTTGCCAGAAGATCAGTTATCTCAACAAACCAAACATGAGCAGTCAAAAAATGAAACGACTTGTTTCTTGCAGACTTCAAAAGAGGGTAAATATTATTTTTATGGACTAGATATTTTTATCTTTGTTATCTGTGGATGAAGGGAAATTCTCAGAGTTCCTTTAAAATAACTTTTTAGAGAAAGTGAAAGGTCCTGATGGTTTTCTTATCCTGCTCTGCCCATTGGTTTCCTGTCTGAGGGAGGGAAGCAGAAATTTTAGTGGCTGGAAGTTCGTGCCTCCCAGTCTTGGAGCTGACGCTCATGTAAACTTTATGCCTCGGTTCCCCATCAGTGAACTGGGGCGTTTTTGGACCAGAGGGATCCGGTCATTCATTTACAGCATTTATTAGATGTCTACCATATGCAGAAACAGTTCTGTTGAAAATGGAAAGTTTTCTCAAAAGAAAAAGGCCACTTGACAATGTCATGGTCCTCAAATTTGTAACCATGAGGCCAACCCCTCAGGAGCATTAGATCAGGTTTGACTTAATTAACTTACGTCTGCCTCTTATAGAATGTTACCCTCCTTCCATACCATTGAGAGGAAATGCTAGACAGTTTAATCTCTTCATGAGTAACTGTAAGAAAATTTCACAAAGATTAAAGATTGGACAAGGGGTAGAAAATTAATAACTGATATTGAAGTTAGGACTTCCAATTAGCCTGTTTTAATATGAGTGTATTTCCCCCCTCTCCATTAGAAATACTTTCCATAGCATAAAGTATTATACAGAAAAAAGTCACTGGAATACATTGGCTTTTTTTTTAGCATTTGACAAAATCAATTTTTGTTCTAGATATTGTATTTTGTTTTGTTTAATTAGTTCCTTTTTCTGGTTTCTATATATTAAAAAATTTTAAGTGACTTTTGTGTTGTTCCTTCAGCTTCATGAGGAATTTTTTAAAATTGTTTTTTAAAAACTTTTTGATTGAGTATGAAATACCACAAAGAATGTGTGTGAAGCACAGTAATCATAAATGTATATAGCTCAGTGTGCATGCATTTTTATTTAAAAAAAATTTTTTTTTTAATCCTCACCTGAGGACACTTTTTGCATTCATAGAGCGAGAGGAAGAGAAGGAGGAGAGAGAGAGAGAGAAACATCGATGTGAGAGAGACACATCGAGTGGTTGCCACCCACACAACCCCAACTGGGGCCGGGGACAAATTGCAACCGAGGTACGTGCCCTTAGCAGGAACCAAACCTGGGTCTCTCTGGACTGTGGGCCGATGCTTTAACCGCTGAGCCAAACCAGCCAGCTCTGTGCATGCATTTTTAATGGCTTTTTAATTAGGTCTGCATTTATACCACATACTTTACTGTCTTTAATATTTTAATACTTTCATGATAGATGTTTTAAATTATATGCTACTCCATTTGATATATCACCTAATGTGTTACAATTTTCAGGTGAATTATCAGGGTCAAAGGAAGAGTCATCTCTCCCGGATATTTCAAGCCAAAAATTAGAGAAACCAAAGCAGACTTCTCCAGACCTTGAGAGTAGATCCCAGATCAAAATTCCGATCCCTAAAACCAGGAAAATATTCTACAAACCCCATGATTTACAGCAGGATGATAAGCAGTCTTTTTCTAGACAAAGTGCAGACGCCCTGAGCACCAGAGGAGCTCTGAGGGGCATCCTGAAGCATAGCTCCAGTTCCAGCAGCACCGACTCAGAAATCGTTCGTTTTCATCAGCACTTTGAACCCAAAAGCAAAGTTGTGTCCCCTGGCCTCCCCATCCGTAAGAGGATTTCTGAGCAGCATTCTTTAGAAGATGACTCCTCAAAGGCGCTGGAGCCCTTGAAGCAAGTGAGGTTCTCCCTGGTGCAGGACGAGTCCTCGAAGAGTCCTGGGCTCGTCCATGGACAGGAAGTGGGAGAATTCAGTGTTTTAGAATCCAACAGGTTGAACAATGGAGCAGAAGTTGTCTGGGACAAGGATGAGTTCTGGAGGGACCCTCAGCCTTCCCGTGACAGAGAGCCTTTACCTTTACCTCAATCAGCCTCCAGCCCAAGTGCCTTAAAAAATGAAACACATCAGTCAAAGACTTCTGGTCCTTTTCCAATTAGTGGGCAGCCTTCTCCCTCAGAAGTTTTAACTGCAAGACCACAGTCCAGTGAGAATTCACCCACCATCCATGAGCATGAAGCTAAATCATCAGAATTATCAAGGCTTGAATCGGAATCATCCAAAAGCCCTGCTGGTAAGAGAGTTGTCGCTGCCAGGCCCCAAGCACTGACCCAGCGGGCTTGGAATGGCAAGGCTGGCCGGCCCTGGAGAAGCTGCATTTTGCCAGCCTAGTCATTTCAGCTGAATTCAGGCAAATCCACTGGGGAATGCTTGTACCTCTTAATGTGTTTGCAGGTTTTCCTCAATTACCAATAATTTAAAAAAATCTGAATAGCACAGTTTCTGGCCCATTTTGCTTTAACGTAAAAATGTAATCATATCAATTATTTAAACAAATTACTATGTTTTGAGTTATGTTAAGGTGTTTATACTGAGCAAGAACTAAAGATATGCTGCCCTGGCTGGTTTGGCTCAGCAGTTAGAGCGTTGGCCCGCGGACCAATGAGTCGCAGATTAGATTCCGGTCAAGGGCACGTACCTTGTACCTCGGCTTTGGTTTGTTGTCAGCCCTGGTCAGGTCGTGTGGGAGGCAACCTGTCGATGTGGCTCTATCACATCGATGTTTCTCTCTGTCCCTCTCTCCCTTCCTCCCATTCTGTCTGATAATAAGTGGAAAAATATCCTCACGTGAGGAATAAAAAAAAGAATTAAAGATATGCTAATACCTTTTTATGGAGTAAATATATTATTACTTACCTAATTGAAACTTGTCAATTGCCATTTAACTAAACTTTGGTTTTTTCTTTTAATCTGAAGAGAACCTTCTCTTTCTTAGCCTCAAAGGATGGGAAACTAGACTGAGGACTTACTCTGGCCTGCACAGGGCCTCTAGCCATTTGCACTTAGCCTTTAAAAGCTCTGAAGGAACTTTCTCTTGCAGCTGGTGTGAATTGAGAGGCAATAAGAATGCTGCTTTTTCCTGCCAAATAGCTAACTAGCTCGCTCGCTCGCGCTCTCGCTCGCTCACTCTCTCGCGCTCTCGCTCGCTCACTCTCTCGCGCTCTCGCTCGCTCACTCTCTCGCGCTCTCGCTCGCTCACTCTCTCGCGCTCTCGCTCGCTCACTCTCTCGCGCTCTCGCTCGCTCACTCTCTCGCGCTCTCGCTCGCTCACTCTCTCTCTCTCGAAGATTCTGTAACTCTCAGGGGATGCCTGAAACTGCTTTCCCATACTTATGTGATTACTTTATAATTCTTATGTTTTAGAAAACAGAAACAATGGTGAAAATCATCCCATGTACTCTCTCCCATTTTCATTAAGTCTTCATCCAACCCTACGATTATTTCTGTATTGTCAAGAATATTTACAGTAACGACAGTCAAGTTTCTAGCCCACTGGTTCTCACTCTCTTATTCGTCAGTATTGAGTCTTAACCTTGAGTCCCTTTTGCTTAGCTCTACAGTTTCATACCTGTTCAGATCAATCTACCTCTTAAAGGACAAAGCATTTTCACTACCCCTCTCCCCTGGACATTTAAAATCATTTAAACAGAACAGATTTCTTTAAATTAAAACAATCAGCAGGTGCTTCTTCAAGAAATAAAGGCACTCATATTAAAAGGAAATTATTAAAGTTTGAGTAATTAGTAGCAAATAATTGGATGATGCTCACTTAAATGTTTATTCAAAATATGAAGGATATTTCTTTGGTAGTACTTTCCTTTATCATAATCCACAGAAGAAATTTGGTAAACATTGTTTTTGTTTCTTAGGCTGTACCTGCTTTCAAAGAATATCTTTCAGATTTTGTATTAAGTACTTATTTGTGCTTTCTGATTTTTAATCGAAACTACCCATGAACATTGGAAGGAGAGTGGCATCAGCTGTGCTCATTTTGATTGACAGACAGGCCTTCCGGCGTCAGAGCATATAACAAAGTTCTGCTGAACACCCTGCTTTTTTCCTGCTTACCAAAATAATGTAAAGTAAGGAATGGAACATAAAAATAAAATCAGGAGTCCCCCCTACCCCCAAAGAAGGTAAAATCTCTGCAAATTATAAGGGTTTGACTTTAGCTCAAATATTCTTATTTTATTTTATTTTTTAAAAAATTTTCACCTGAGGATATTTTTTCATTTTTGTACAGATAGAGTGGGAGGGAGAGAGAGAGAAACATTGACATGAGAGGGACACATCGACTGGTTGCCTCTCGCATGTCCTCCCACAGAGCTGGGGACAAACCACAACTGAGGTACGTGCTCTTGACCAGAATCGAACCCTCGACTCATTGGTCTATGGGTCGATGCTCTAACCACTGAACAAAACCGGCCAGGGCAATGTTCTTATTTTAAAAGTAAGAAACTTTCATTGGAAAAGAAGAAATGCCCTCCGATGCACAGAGCCATCAGCTGATAAATGGTGTTACTTCAATAGCTAAGGTATATGGAATCCAGGGATGAAAGATGGAAGTGAAATTGGCTCCTCTCACCATTACTTCCTAACTTACTTTATTAAAAAAGAAAAAGAAATGTGCACAGAATAGAACAAACATCATCTGTGATATCATTGCCTATTGTTAACTATTGCTAACAATTTAATTATAGAGCCTTTCATAATTTTCAGGCAAGAATATAATTTTAAATTATGTTTATACTTCTTTTTTTCAGTAACAGCATATAGTGAACATTTATTTCATCATTGAGTCATTTTCTGTTAAACAGACTAACGTCATTCTTACAGATTTCTCAAATAAACATCACAATTATATACATTTAATAGTGCAAAGTGCAGATAAGGAAGTAAGCCAATATTGACTATGTGCCAATTTTTATATAAGACTTCGTTGTTTTCATATTTAACCGGAGTTGATGAATAAAACATGAGGTAGAATTTTATTAACTAACATCCCCTCTAGTGCACTCCTTGTTTAATCTTCCCTGAAAGTTGTTTTTCCAATTCTTGAAGTCTCCTAAGTCCATGTTTCTCAAACTTGGGTATAAACCCTCAAGGTTTTATAAGTGTGCCAGTGGGTAGATGGAGCCATAAAATCTACGTGGTATATCTTCCTGGAAGGTCAATTTTATGCAAAGATTTGAGAGTGAGAAAAAAATTAATATATAAAATGTAACATAGGCCAGAATACAGAGTTTACATGAATTAAAAAAAAATACCAAAGACTTCAAGACTTCAAAGACATTTCCCATTTTGGTCTATACCCCACACTTCCAGGGGTCTACATTTACCTTCTTTTATTGTTATAGGGCATCTTTGGCAGAATATCTTAATTAGGATGGTTTACTTTATAACCCTAAAAAATGCTGATATAAACAGCTAGTAGTGTGGAACATGTAAATACAAAGTGCCTTTTTCAAAGATACTGAGTGCCCTGGCTGGTTTGGCTCAGCGGTTAGAGCATTGGCTTGTGAACCCAAGGGTTGTGGGTTAGGTTTTCGGTCAGGGGTATGTACCTGGGTTTCAGGTTTGATCCCTGGCCCTGCTCAGGGTCATGTGGGAAGCAACCAATCGCTGTGTCTCTTTCACATAGATGTTTCTCTCTCTTTTTTTCTCTCTTTCTCCCTCCCTTCCACTCTATCAAAAAAAAAAAAAAAATCAATGAAAAAATATCCTTGGGTGAGGATTAACAACAACAAAAAAAGATACTACTGTGAGTGTTTGAGTAATATATTTTTTTTAAATCCTCACCAGAGGATATTTTTCCATATATCTTCAGATAGAGTGGGAAGGGGAAAGAGAGAAACATTGATGTGAGAGAGACACATCAATTTGTTGCCTTCTGCATGACCCCAACTATGGCTGGGGACCAAACCGCAACTGAGGTACATACCCTTGATTGGAATCTAACCCATGACTCTTCGGTCTGTGGGCCGATCCTCTAACCACTGAGCTAAACCAGCCAGGGCTGAATAATAATTCTTTAAGCATTCTCTTTTCTTATTTAGAAAAGCATTACTATATTGCAGATGAACTGTCTCGTGTTGAGCCTGAGCCTTCCCTGGTGCCAGATCACAGTTCTGGAGACCATCAGCAAGGTAAGCCGCCTCTTCTCAAGGCCCTAAAAGCTAAGACATTCTCATGCTCTGGTCCACCTGCCACTGAAATAAGGAAGACAACTGATGATTCCATATCCAAAGTCCTAGACTGGTTTAACCGAAGTTCTCATTTAGATGACAATAAGTTACCTCTCCACTATCCCCGAGGAATAGAGCCAAAAGAAAAAGCAGACTCAAAATCACAGATTGCTGATGCCTTGGTGACAGATGATGTCAGTCTAAAAGAAAATGGCTCAAAAGCTCTATTATCCACCAAAGTTGAACTGATGCCTATAGGATCTGATTCGATGTTCCAGGTAGAGGGAAATGTGCTGCCTTCTGGAAATTGCCAAGATAGTAATGGGAATATCAAACCCAAATCTATGAATTTGTCCCAACAAGGCAAGCAAGGTCCACACGTATTACAACCATTTGAAATCTACAGTCCATATCAAGGGAATGAACCCATGGACTATAGCCAAACTTCAAAAAACATAGGAGCAGGAAATGGGATACCTCGTCCAACCAGTAACTATCCCTACAGTGCTCTCAAGGAATCTGATGCAGCAGACCGAGTTCCATGCAACATTAAGGATGTTGGCAGCTTAGATGAAGAAGAGCCCAAGCTTTGTATTTATGAAAAATATAGAGGAAACAAAAAGGTGAATTTTGACTCTTCAAAAATTATCACAGAACCAAGTCTGAAAGACAACATGAATGCAGAGAGAGAGAGCAAAGGAGAAGATGCTTATACCTTGGAAGCTTCCATGGAGCCAGAAAATATTGAGTCTCTCCCTGGGACTGCCAACAATAAATCTTGGAAGAAGCCTGAGGTCCAACTACAACAAGAAGCTGGTGAGGTTCCCGAGAACCAAGTGCAAAGAGAAAAATACAAAAGTGTGAGTGACAGAATATCCTTTTGGGAAGGAGAGAAAGCTACAGCTAAGTTCACTTGTGAAGAACCCACATCTTCACACAGTCAGGAACAACCTTCTGCTAAAGCCTACCAGCGTGTGAGGTCCATGGACGGTTTATCCACAGGCCAGAATGAATTCAATCAAGTCACTGCCAAACAAGTGATCCTCAATGAGGATGGCCAAGTAGCTCTTCACTCCAGTTTTTATTCCTCAAATAAACCTAAAGAGACCAGAGCCCAAATATCAGTTCCATCCAAAAATTATTCTTCTGCTGAACAACCAGATAAAGTGTCTGTGCTTCAGAATAAAATAAATGAGCCTGTAAAAAGATTGCCAATAGCAGACAGTTTGCACTCTGGAAGAGACGTCCCTTTACCGAAACTACAGCATCCCTCAAATGTTGCGAGTGAAGTACATGCTGCTTTGGAGAAAGACCGATCTCTAATTGATGAATCAAATCCCAACTTTAAAGTTATGTCCCTAAAAGGAAGGATGGATGAACCCAGTACAGAGCAGGTTTATAATCACTCTCAATTTGAGAATTTGAGAAAGTTTTGGGACTTAGGATCCAACTCAAACAGTCAGGATAATGTTGAGAAGAATACCACCAAAACAAGCCAGAAAAAGTCTGTGCCTTTTAATAGCCAGAAACACAAAGAATTCCATGACATCAAATCATCAGGAGAAAGTGTCCATAAAATAGAGACACTTCTAAGCTCCCCCCAAATTCCAGCAACAGAGGAAATAGAAGACTTAAATTCAAAGTGCACACTCCAGGTGTTACCATCTGACACCAAATTTCCATTGAAACCACCCACAAAGTCCACTGGTCAGTTGCCAGGAAATGAGTCATCAAAGGAAAATGTGCAAAAGAATACAGAATGGTTTGTTACTCCAGTGTTGAAGGAAGGAAAGGAGGACTCAGACCAAGAGATTCAGGAATCCATAGTGAAAACACGAGTTTTGTCTAAAGACTACAAAGACACTTTTAATGACAGCCTACAGAAGCTACTTTTAGAAGCTTCATCACAAGCAATCCAACCTTCCAGTGAAAAAGTTCATGGAAAACAAATGCTTGAATCAGGTGCTTCTGAAAATAGGACCTGGCCTCAAAACACAGATTTTGCTGATACTGAGGAAGCAGCCAAAGGACCTAAGGACATCATTAATGAGGAGGTAGGCAAAACAGTAGCTCCTCCAAAGGTGAAACCAAACACTTTGGCTGCTAGTCTAGATAAACTCTTGAAGGAAGGACCTGGAACCTTACCCTCTCCCTTGCAAACCAAATTGGAACGCATCACCCCTAGGATCAACACTGAGCCTGAAGAGAGTAGAGTTTTTGATAAAGGCACAGAGCAGAGTCACAACTCATCAGCCTATCCGAGAGAAAGAATAGCCCCTTTTTCAGAGGGGGAAGAAACTTTAGGAAAAACAGCTCTCCCCCAGAAAGCAGAAAGGGGTGAGAACCAGCTAAATGCAGGAAACTTATTGCAGATGGCTGCAGAAGGTTCTCACCCATTGGACCAACCTTCCCATCTTCACAGAGAAGGCTCTTTTGGGATTGCCGCCAACTCTCCCCAAGATGTGCCATACTCCAGCGATGCTCATCTTGCTCCCCAGGGTAAGGTACTACCTTCTCAAAGGGAAATATCAGAGACTGTAGAAAAAGTCGTTGTTCCACCCAAACCTACACTGAATGACGTAAATGTTGTATTACGAAAGCTGCTTAGAGAAGCGTGGCTGAATTATCCAGTTGATAGGGAAGTTGTTCCTGGAGAAGTAAAAGCAGACTTTCCTGAAGGAGTACAAGCAGCAGGTAGCCGCCAAAATTCTCCCAGAGTCATCCCACCATCAGCTACAATGGACATTATAGTTCCAGACGGAAAGGATTTTTATTCCTTCAATGTAGTTACTGATAAAACTCAAGGCATTGCCTCTCATTTAGCTGCCCCCATGTCTCCATCAGAACAAACCCCAAGCTCATTTGGTTCCACTGTTGCTCAGTATAGCAAAGAGTTACCTCAGGAAGTGATAGAAATGGTGAGGGAAACAAGAATTCAACCTAAATCAGAGCTCCTTGAATTCAGTGCTGCCTTAGAGAAACTGCTGAAGGAAACTCACTCCTCAAAACCTGGAAGGGGCACAGGGACGCATTCTCCACCCAAGTTAATAGGTAGCACTGAGATGCCTAGGCCAGCTGCTTCTCAATTTCATCCTGAGGAAATAAAGGAAACAGTACAAAAGTCTGAGGCTCCAGCAGTAACTGAGAGTGCTTTTGATACTGGTTTTGAGAAACTCCTTAAAGAAACATCTGAAGCTCCTTCTTATGAGCTCCAGGTGTCAGCGAAGGAAGAAACTCCTGAGAAGGAAACCTCAGAGTCAGAGCAGGCCAGGCTCTTGGGGAGAACCCACGAGGCCCCTGAAATGAAGCTTAAGAGTAATGTTTCCAAATCTCAAGTCAACCAATGGGATCAACTGTTGAGAGGAGAAGCTGTGAATGATTTATCAGTAGGCCTCTGTGGTTCTGAGAGTGGAGTTGAGATTGCTGGGACCCTTTCAGTCGGCCAACAAATAGGGATCATTGACACTGTGAAGCCCCCAGAGCCCAGGGAGAGTGAAAGTGAGGTTGCAGGGGTTCCAGAAGGGGCTTCTCAGGAGCCTGGCTTTGAAGAGGGCCCTGAAACAATGAGGCAACCTGTTCCTCTCCTGACCGACAAGGAAAACTCTACAAAGAGAAGTCAAGTTGAACTGATTCTGACATCACCATATAAGAGACAAGAGAAAGAGGAAGACTCTGATTCTTCAGACGGAAACATCGGTTCTAAAGCCGAAAGCTGGAGAAACACCTCCAGTGAGCACTTTGAAGTTTTTAACCTATTAGTTAATGAGTTAATTTATGGAATGAGGAAGTAAAGGATAGTAGAGTTTTTTTTTTTATTGGAATTAATTTGACAGTTCCAAATAGTGCTGAATTCTTCAGTTCTTCCTAGCCTTTCTTAATAAAAACTACATTTCCTTTTATAGTCTTTAATCAGACAAGTTACACAGAGAGCGGTTTACCCACAGGGCAGTGTTTTCGAATTTTATTTTATTCTCCTTAATCAACAATAGAACTTTTAGGTTTCAAAAATATTTTTAAAGAAGTGTTTGGGTTTAGAAACCACCTCTAACTTTCAAGCTAGTTTTCCTTCTGGAAATAATTAGAATTTCTTTCATAATTGGCATTCCATACAGAAGTCTCTAGTAAGATGTGTGGCAAGAAACTACCACAAGTGAGCACACATTTCCCTTTTAGGAACAGTAGTTTACCACAGTAGTGGCTAGATACCAGGAGCAAAGTGCAAGCGGAGCTTTCTTTTCCTCAGATACCTCGTGCTGTGGTGTTTTTGTTGCCACGCCCTCTCTCTCTTTTCAATTATCTTCAGACTCTTCCCCCTTCTAGAGGACGACTCTGGTCAAATGACTTCACCTCGTTCCACACAAGGGCATTGCTTGGCCTGCTGAATGTCCTTGGCCCCAGCCTTGGCTAAGTGGATGAAGAAGGTCTTAATTACCACGTTCATCTCAGTGGAGTTGTGGGTACTGGTTTCAGCCAGGCCATGGCACACAGGGGTTGTCTCAGTTGGTGCTTCTGGTCAACACAGCCGTTTTGGCAGAGAAACCCAGGAGCAGACAGGACTGAGAACTGACCTGCTTAGAGTGATGAAATGATAAAGGATGCTCCCTAGCAGGACAGTTCAACCCAAGTGACAGGCACATCCAGTGTCAGTCACCTTCCTAGACGTTTAATAGGATTTGCCCTTTTCTAGCTCCCTTCAGTCTCAATGAGTATAAATAAGCTTTGCCGAGTGGCTTGACTTGTGAGGTTCCCGTTCCTTGGCAAGTAGCTGTAGGGCCTCTTGCAAACTGACCAAAGAATCCATCTTTAGCCCTAGTGAATCAAGTTGGAGCCCCTTTAACGAATGTCTCTGGTAAGGAAAGGAAAGGGAAATACCAGTCTCTGAAACCAGACAGACGCAAGAGTATAAATCAGCATGTTAAACTTGTTGAAGTATACTTTTACTAAACTACCCCACTGAGTTGCTAGAGTAAACTGACCTGTAGGAGCAGAGGGCTCATGCATTTACATTGACTTTGGAAACTATTGCCTAATGTGCATAGCCGTGTTTATACAGTACACCAGCAGAACTGGTTGAACAGCAAAAAGCCGATCTAAAAACGAAATACTCAATTTTAAGTAACAACCTGGACAGAGTCCAGAGAAGATATTTTAAAATTATAAGCCAAGTAAGAGGTATAAAATGGCACAGTTGTAGTTTTATGTCCTCCTCTAACCTAAATTATTTTAAAACAGGTGGGTGGGGTGGGGTGAGCGTAGAGGGGAACCTGACTACAAAGGCATCAACATTTTGGTGAGCAGCCTGACACATTTGTCCTGTGGCTCAGCTCTCTCAACTGACCTATACCTCTAAATGCTCCTGGAAATAAAGGAAGTTTAATGGTCAGATACTTTTGGAAATGCTGGGAGATTATGCCCATTATTAGCATTAAAGTCTCCAAGAAGGTCTGTAAGTGAGAAGCCTTTTAAATTTGAACACAGATCATTCCAAGTCTAATTCATCTTAGAATCCATTTGCTGTAGAACGCCTATCAACAGTGGGCAGAACTGGGATGCATTTCTGTCAAGTATTGTCTAGAGAAACAGCTCCCAAATTTATTGATTCATTAATGGAACCATTTATTGGCTTAGCAGACATTTTTGAAGTGCCTATTGCCAACCACTGTTCTAGGTGCTGAGACTATGACAGTGATAAATGATGGTGCTTAGACCAGGGGTCATCCGTGATGGAGTTTTTACTGTCAAAACAGGACAATTAAGGATTGACGAGAGAAGCATTTTTGTAAGGTTATATGTATTTAGTTATTATATTCTGAGGTTATGCCCTTTTTCTTTCTGTTGGTTCTCCTTTTATAAAGAAAAGGCATTAGTAGATGATAGAGCCATAATCACCCCCTGTTAAAATGCCTCAGTAAAATAAAAAGTTGACTACCTCATGTTATTTCCCAATATTTTGATAGAAATTTTACTAGTTCATGAAACCCCCCAAAAGCGTACGTCTGTTGATCTGGAGAAGTCATCCATCTGTGTATTCGATTACACACAGATGTTAAACATCTGAATCCGGACTTCTATGGTTTTCAGTTAATTTTTTTTAATGCTTCTAAAACCATTTTGTGGCTATCTTCAAAAGCTATAAATGAAGTGGAAAGATTCAAAATCTGGCACAGAACAAATCATGTGCCTAAAATAGAGGTGTGGAAGACTAGGCGAACACATTGCTATTAATGTGGCAATCTTGTTTCTGAATGATTTATGCTTGCAAATATTTTTTGACCAAGAAAATTATTTTCTTTAAAGGACACACTATTTGTGAAGAAATTTTATTTTCTTCTGTGAAGTGCTTCATAGAGTCAACAAAAGTACAGAAGCTCTTGGCATAATGCTGGCCTTTAACCCACTATCTCAATGTTGGGGGTTAAGAGTTTGGTGGGCTTTTTTTTTTTTTTTTTTTTTTTGGTATTGTGCCGTGTTCATCGGTTTTGTCTTATAACAGGTTCAGAAGAAGAAACCAGTCCTGTTTTGAAAACTTTGAAAAGGAGATCTGCTAGGAAAATGCCTTCCAAAAGTCTAGAAGACATTTCATCAGATTCATCAAGTGAGAATCAAGTGTGCCTCACTGCTCATGCTCCCATCTAAGCTTAAAAATGCTCGTGCGCTCCTCTGTGGCCTCACTGCATGCTGTTGTGCACTGGCATCCCTGAGGGGGCTCAGCAGATGAGATGAGCCTTTCCCAAGTGAGCCGAAGAGGCTCGCCCTATAGTGGTTGGCACTTGGCTTCTAAAATAATGCACAAGGTTTGGTTATGAGAACACTTGGTTTCCTTGCATTGAAGAACCCCAGTGTGAGTGTTTATTCAAGTACAGTGAGTTTTAAAAGATAATGGTAGCTAATGGCTCTAGTAGTAATAACTAACATCTGTTGAGTACTATGTGCCAAGACTTAGCTAAGCGTTTTACATGCATTATTTTATTTATCTGGCATAAGTAACCCTGTGAGAGACAAGTCGTTATCCCCATTTTACAGATGAGGACAATGAAGCTCAGAGAGGTAAAGTAACTTGCTTACTATCACACAGCAGAGCTGGTACTCAAAATCAACAGACTGTTGTCAAAAGCATTATGATAGTGTTGGATATCTGGTGGAATCTGCATGATGCGGAGATGAATTAATTGCTGGCTTTAAGGACTTTCCTTTTCTCTTTTATCCCTTCTTGTCATGCATTTCTTTTGGATGTTAGAACTGTAAGCCCACGGACTCTCTGGCACACAGCACTTGAGGCACACTGTTCCCCCCAGCTACTGCTTTAACGGGTGAAGAAAGTCTTGAGTACTCACATAACACATAGTGAACAGAGCGACTTGTGAGCCACACCAATGGACTTAGAAATCATAACTTCTAGGGGTTTTGTTCTTACTGTTATTAAGCCAGGATATACCTTCAGGATTGCAGATGGTCATGAGAAAATTTATTGAGTGAAAGTTAACCACTGTCAAACTCATATGAACATTGTCATGTTCAGAATACTTTTTATGTATCTGCAATTGAGAGAAGCCAGAATTTAAAAAGGAAAAACAACATTCCACCAAACAATTTCTAAAATTCAGAGATTCCCAGAGCCCCGAAGGCAGTATTACCAATTTGGCATGCAGTCCTAACCCTGCCAAAGATCTTGGAATCTCAGGGTAAGAAGGGACCTTGAAAGGCACCCATTCCAAACTGCCCCCAGTGCAGGAATTCCCTCCAAAGCCTCCTCAACAGGTGGCCAACCCCCACATCCGCCTGAATGCTTGCGGAGTAGGCGAGTCCAGTCCTTTGTTGGACAGCCCTGATTGTTCTTCCTGATGTTGGTGATGGGCCCTGAGGAGGAGAAATCTTAGCAACAATTGTTCAATCTGGCAAACCTCCTGTTTGTGACACATGGGGCTATTTCCATGGTGCAGCTTTAAAGTATTCAGGAATGTGTAGGGTTAAAAAATAAACTACCCTCAGCTGATGGGTATTCCTGCACACTCCCTTCCAAATACCAATACCCACACTCACACTAGCCTGCCAAGATTCCACTTAGCAGCTGGTCCCCAGTCACATCTCTTCAGTTGACTTCCCAAGCAAGGCTCCCAGAGGCATATATGAATGATGATGCATGCCCAGAAATATTTGTTAGTGACTGTGGGTTTGGGAAGGTGTTAGTCATGGCTAGCATCTCACCCTTTTTAAAAGAGTAGAGAGGCGGTTGCAGCCCCATGCTTTCTCCTGCTGCCGGCAGATTGCTTGCACTGATCTAACCCTCTAACCCGTGGGAGTCCGTGTGCAGCAGTGTGCTGATGTAAGCTGCATCAGGGCTGAAACGGGAGCTCCCGCTATGGCACTGGCTCAAGTACTAATCTAAAGAGAAAGTATTTGGGGAGAGACATCTTGGTTGCACCTCTCACTGCATCTTGACTAATTGCTTCCAACTCCGGGGGCTTTCGGGGACAGTCTCATTGTTCTTTCGCGCCAAGGGTCAGTCGTGTTAACCATTTGTTAATTTCTCCTGAACAGATCAAGCAAAAATAGATAATCTGCCAGAAGAATTAGTACGTAGTGCTGAAGATGGTAAATATCTTTATGTATCTGCATGTCTGTCTGTGTGTTAGGTTCTGGGGTGGTCTGGGCAGTCACCGGGACACAGCTGTTGGATAAATAAAAACGTCATTTGCCACCATGTGATGAATGGTGCCTAACTTATTATAAAACCGTTCTCACTTGGTGCATTTAATACTAACTGTTTGTATTCTTAAGGTTTCTTCTGCTGGTGATAGCATTGTGAGGATCTCTTCAGAGACCCTTGGGAAGCAGGGGTTTCTATAAATAGGAAATTGTATTTCTATGGGTATGAGCTGATTTTTGCTAGTCTGATTTGCAGAACTCCCTTTGAAGGCAGGAAGAGTGGAGTGGATTCCTGGGTTGTTATTTTTATGTTTGATCCCCATATCTCAACATATAGATCTCTCTGGGCATATCTGGTAAAGCTTTAAATTTAAAGGAAAAGGTCCCAGAACAAAAGTGGGGATGCTACCTCTGCTCATGTAAATAACTACGAATAGATGGAGGGTAAAATTAACTAATTCTGAACATTAAGGAGTCAGAAGATTTTGAAGCTTGTCAGTTGATCAGGTATTACTTGGTTGAGTTATAAAATGAATAGGCATTTATTTTATGGGGGGGAGGGATGGGAATGAGCCTGATTTTTATAGTTCAGCTTTGATGCAAATGTATAATTTATATTTGTATGCTGGAATTTTGTTTTCTAAATTGCTTTCACTATAATAATAAAAATATATATTCAGTGAGCTTTCCCATATAAAAGCAGCAACAGAGATCCTCAGAGGTTATTCCTTACTTTTATGTAATAGATTTGTCTTTCTCATTTTATGTTTACAATAACCTCATTGAAGTATATGGGGCCAGTGTGGCTCAGTTGGTTGGGCATCTTCCTGGGCACTGAAAGTTTGCTGGTTCGATTCCTGGCCAGGGCACATACCCCTGCTTGATCTCCAGTAGGGATCATGTAGGAAGCAGCAATCAAATTCCTGTCTCATATCAATGTTTCACTCTCCCTCTCTAAAAATCAATTAAAATTTTTTTTAAAAAAAGAAAGAAATAGGTGGGGCAGGGGTTTTTATTTTTGTTTTACAGATAAGAAAAGCTCCAAGAAATTAGGTGACTTGTCTGAGATCCTGTAGCTAGTCAGTCAGTGGGAGGGTAGGGACGAGAATCCTGCCTTCATTACTCTGAGTGCAGTGCTCTTTCCATCTTAAAAGCTGTGGCTTAGTGAATGGGAGGAAAGGTGCAAAACAGCTCCTTGCTGGATGCTGGACTTTCCATGGAACAGGAGACAGTAAAGAGGCTAATGAAGATCACACTGGGGAATGGATGAAAGCAAGCTGGGAAGCTGTCAGATGTATTCTGCAGTCTCAGCTATGAAACGGACATTTGAGCTACACTTTCATGTCTCTTTTAATCCTTCTGTTAAAATGGTATTTTTTCCCAATGTTTCTCTTCTGAGTAGATCAAAAAGCAGATCAGGAACCAGATACAAATGAATGCATACCAGGAAGTGAGTAGCAGGTTCTTTCTCACAACTGACTAAATGTTGCCACTGTACCTGGTGTTAAGTATACTGAAATAACTAACCCCATTAATAACACAGCTCTATTATTGGTACTAAACTCTTGCAGCTTACAAAACTATTTCATTCTGGCAAGGGTAGTATTAAAAACATTTTACTACTGTCTGTGTTGAAAGATTAATTGGTGGTTCTACTGAGAAAGTTATATATTTTAAAAAGTTAAATATTATATATATGTATTATATATCATATAAATGTATTATATATATTAATTATGGATATTATCTTTTTGCTAGTCACGCTGCTCTTTGAGTCTTTGCTTAAAATGAAGTTGGCACTTTCCAGTATCACTTGGCTTTTATGTTGCAGTATTTGTGTGGATCTCTGTGGCCTTTGTTTAAGACTGTAATGAAGCAATTTATAATTTATTTGGACCTAAGAAAGAACTGTACTTGACAATTAGTATTAGTATGGTTGTGCATGCCTCTCTGCACAGCGATAGAAGCAAACTCTATGATGTCCAGGGTTTAAACTCAGGTTTAAAACTAGACTTGAACAATATCTATTCAACATGTAAAGCAAGTGAACATATGAATCTTAAGAAATAAATGTACACTTGTGGTGGTTAATGTCCATCAACTAATTAGTATTCACCACCAAGCAAAAATTATTTCTTCACCTTTTCCATTCAGTCTTAAGTTACTGTACTTAACTCTGACTGCTGTGTTAAGGATAAACAGCACATTGAAAAGATGTCTGTGGGCCAAGAAAAGCATGTAGATATGTGTGTGTGCTCAGCTCCCCAGCTTCAGTCAGTGTCATAATCGTAGGTCTGAAGATAATGATGCACATGCCTGCCCTCAGGAGTCCAGGGGATTTTTAGTAACAGTTTCCCAACATTCTGTGGATGTGCTCGTAGATCTTAATGAGAAAAGCAGCTAAAAGGAAGAGCCATTAGACAGAGGACAAAGTACCAATAATAGAAGGCAGTGACATCTTGTCTAAAATCTGAAACTTTGCTCACCAGGTCCTCCTGCCAGAGATGAAGGTGCTGAGCTTTAGCACATGCCCTGACAAATCCTTTTTTTTTTTTTATCTCTTTCTATAACTCTTAATCTTTTTTTATTATTAAGTAATTTATTTTTGTTACAAATGTTTCTCCTTTTTCCCCCATTGACACCCTCCTCCCAACCCCCCACCCTCGGCATTGTTGTCTATGTCCATTGGTTATGCATACATGCATATAAGGTCTTTGCTTTATCTCATCTCTCCTCCGCATCCCCCTCCTCCGAGGTTTGTCAGTCTAAACCCTACTTCTATGTCTCTGGGTCTATTTTGTTCATCAGATTATTTTGTTCATTATATTCCACAAATAACTAAGATCATGTGATATTTGTCTTTCTCTGATTGGCTCATTTTGCTGAGCATAATACTCTCCAGGTCCCTCCACATCATATCAAAGAATAAGAAATCTTTTTTTCTTACAGCTGCATAGTACTCCATTGTGTATATGTACCACAGCTTTTTTATCCATTTGTCCACTGATGGACACTTGAGCTGTTTCAAGATTTTAGCTATTGTAAATAGTGCTGCTATGAACATAGAGGTACATATATTCTTTTTTTTTTTTTTTTTATCCTCACCCGAGGACATTTTTCCATTTTTGTTCAGGTAGAGTGGGAGGGGGAGAGAGGAACAGAGAGAGAGAGAAACATCGATGTGAAAGGAACACATCGAGTGGCTGCCACCCGCACAACCGACCAGGGCCGGGGACAAACTGCAACCGAGGTACGTGCCCTTAGCGGGAACCGAACCCAGGTCTCTCTGGACTGCAGGCCGACGCTCTAACCGCTGAGCCAAACCGGCCAGGGCGGTACATATATTCTTTCTGATTGGTGTTTCAGACTTCTTAGGGTATATTCCTAGCAGTGGGATCACTGGGTCAAATGGAAGTTCAATTTTTAATTTTTTGAGGTAGCACCATATTGTTTTCCATAGTGGCTGCACCAGTCTGCATTCCCACTAGCAGTGTACTAGAGTCCCCTTTTCTCCACACCCTCACCAGCACCTGTTGTTTGATGATTTGTTGATGGCAGCCATTCTGACAGGTGTGAGGTGATACTTCACTATTGTTTTAATTTGCATCTATCTGATGTTTAGGGACATTGAGCATTTTTTCATATGTCTCTTGGTCATTTGTATGTCCTTTTTGGAGAGGTGTCTCTAGGTCCTCTGCCCGTTTTTTAATTGGATTCTTTGTCTTCCTTTTGTTGATTTGTAAGAGTACTCTATATATTTTGGAAATTAACCCTTTATCTGTTGTATATTTGGCAGTTTTGCTCTCCCATATAGTGGGTTCCCTTTCCATTTTGATGATTGTTTCTTTTTCTGTGCAGAAGCTTTTTAGTTTGATGTAGTCCCATTTATTAATACAAGACTACCAACTTACACCAAGCACAAGAATAAACTCAAAATGGATAAAAGACTTAAGTGTGACTCATGAATCCATCCATAAAAATCCTAGAAGAAAATGTAGGCAACAAAATTTCAGACATCACACACAGCAGTATTTTCACTGATACAATGCATAAGTCAAGAGAAACAAAGGAAAAAGTTAATAAATGGGACTACATCAGACCTGACAAATTCTTAAGAACTACCTAGAGAAAAAAGCAATCCAAGCTTTGGTTCTTGGTGTTATTCTCTGTCTGGCTGCTGCAGAGGAAACTAGACTTCTATCCTTCAGGGGTGGTGGGTAAAGAGGCTTTTCTAGTTGCTTTTGAACTGGCAGATACTTAAATGTGGGCGTCTTATTTTATCTTGCTGTTTTTTTTTTTAATTTTTTATTTATTTTTTTGTTACAGATATTTCACCTTTTTTTTTACCCCATTGGCACCCCCCTCCCCACCCCACCCCTGCCCCGTCCCCGGCTTAGTTGTCCATGTCCATTGGTCATGCATACATGCATATCAGTTCTGTGGTTTATCTCTTCCCACCCCCCCACCCCCTCTTCTGAGGGATGTCAGTCTGTGCCCTACTTCCATGTTTCTGGGTCTACTGTATTCCTCAGACTGTTATGTTCATTATATTCCATATATAAGTGAGATCATGTGGTATTTGTCTTTTTCTGCTTGGCTTATTTCACTTAGGATAATACTTTCCAGGTATCTTGCTGTTTTGTTCAACATTTAGCCTCAGTGGTGAAAACAAGACACACACACACACACACACACCTATAGATGTGTGTGTGTGTGTGTGTGTATTGCTATAGCTATATAGCCAATATATCTACATCTTCATTTGTGACCTCCTGATGAACTTAGTTGTTTTGGTCAAGGCAAATAGGCTAATCATGTAGTGAATTCTGGATAAATTCTGTCTTTTTTTAATGATATTTTCCAAGATGACTCTTCAGGCCTGGGCTGAGATTATTCTATTTCTCCAGTGAAGATTGTAGTCTTAACCACACAATACAAAATGAAATACATGGTCTGTATACCTAAAACTAATATAATATTGAATGTCAACTTTAATTGAATTTTTTAAATTAAAAAATGGTTTAAAAAAAATGAAAGGCATGCTCTAAACATAAATAACTAAAGCCCAATAAATATAAAACTGACTATGTTTGAGAAGAGGATCTATACTTTGAAAATAATAGAGAGCAGTATTATGATAAAAAGGTTTTGCATACTCTTTGGGTTCTCCCATGCCCTCATGGCACCCAGTCTTACACTGCTTCAGTGTAAGTCACCGAAAATACACACATACACACTGTTGTGTACTGGGAAGTGATTAAAGCGCTGTCATCTTGTGACATGGCATGAATGTATTTTGATACATTTCTGAGCCTAAGGCTAGGCCATAACTACTATGTGAAGAAGCAAATATTTAAATAGGTGTAGTTTAGTTGTTTATTTTCCTTCAGTTAGATTTCATTTAACTAAAAATAAATTTAGCTAATGCTTGGAGCGGAATTTTAACCTTTTGAGTTGAATATAGAAATGTAAGTTGATTTTTATTTGTTTTCCTAGTAGTGCTTTCAATGATAAAGTCAATATATTTGTATCACATTGTAAAGATAACTTAAAGAATCTGTGCCAGATACTATTTATTTGTTTAGCAAATACTTGTGTAGGCCTACTGTGTACCAGGCACTGTTCTAAGTGTTTTGAAAAATATGAATTCATTCAATATAAGAACTCTGATTCACAAAAAAAAAGCTTCCACATTGTGATTCTTAGAGAAAGAAGAAAATAGTGTTCTAACAAGAGTTACATAAATTAGGACTAGAATTCGTCATTTTATTGTGACTTCCACACATATGTTACACTTTCATATTAAATTCTTGGAGCATCCTAACTTGAATCATTTAAACTTGGCCTTGGGTATGTCTACTGCAAATTATTTGAGTTGACAGGTATCTAATATGTGGAATCTAAAAATACAAAATAAACAATCAAGCAGAACAGAAACAGACTCATAGATACAGAGAACATTTTGACGGTTGCCAAAGAGGAGGGGGTTGGGGACTGGGTGAAAAAGGTGAAAGGATTAAGAAGTACAAATTGGTGGTTACAGAGCAGTCATGGGGATGTAAAGTACAGCAGAGGAAATATAGTGAACAATATTGTACTAACTATGGACAGCGTCAGATGCATACTAGATTTATCAGTGTCATCACTTCGTATGTCATATAAATGCCTAATCACTGGGTTGTATGCTTGAAACTTACATCAACTGTAACTGAAAAATAAAAAATAATTTCTATTTTCAAAAAGTAATTAGTTTTGAAATCGTAGTGGTCTTTCATGGTACTCTCCACACTCCCTAAACAAACAAACCCTCTCTTTAGACACTCAATGACCAGGACACGTTTACAATGGAGTTGTATGCAAAGATCCTTGCTGTGCGATGAAATAGTTTTTCAGCCTGCAGCATGTTAAAAATATATCTCAAGGAGATGAACCAATCAATTACAGATCTTGAGGTTCAAAACTATGGCGTGGAAAAAATAAAACCAATTCACATGGACCGTATGTTTCAATATAATTCAAATCCAGCTCCTACCCAATAAAAACTAACGGTGTTTCAATGAATTTTTATTTTCTATTTGGTTCAACTCCTTGCTAGTTTTCTCTGTAGAATTAATTTATGAAAACTGCATGTTTCTTCCCTTATGGTCCTGTGCATGTGAACTACTGTGCCCTTAACCTTTTTTACAAAAACACCTGTGTTCATAGAGGAGAGGAAAGTGTGTTTCCAACGTATGCCTTGTTTGTCTGACAACTATAAAGATAATGTTGAATGCAAATGCCACTGCTTAGTTTCCACAGTGCCTTCCCCGCCTGGCCATCCGTTTTCCCGCCCCGAACAACTCAAAAGGATGAGCAAGTCTGTTCCAGCACTTCCGCAGGATGAGGCAAGTCTATCTTTTGTACCTTCACAAAAATGGAACCGAGCAAGTGGATTTGCGATGCCACGGTTGGTGTGTGTGTGTTCAGCCGTGGCAGAGAACAGAGGTCAGCGGGATTGACCCTGGCCTCTCATACCAATAGAGGTAGTGTTGTTGATCCTGGAACAAGGTAAGGCATGTCTCACTGGACTCAAACAGTAACTCTTTTTGGTAGTGAAGTCAAATTGCATAGATTTGGGAATGTGACTTTTGTTTCAAAGTGGGTAGAAAGAAGAAATCTAAGCAGAAAGATGCTGGCGTGAGCTGACGCCTCTGTAGTTTAGAGGACCATTGATTTGTGAAAGCTTAGTCTGGGGAGCATGACTAGCTTGAAAGCATTTGTTAAGATAATAAAGTAAAAATGAGCCCTGACCGGTTTGGCTCAGTGGTTGGAGCGTTAGCCTGCGGACCAGAGAGTCCCAGGTTCAGTTCCCACTAGGGGCACATACCACCCCCCCAAAAAAAATGATATAGCAAACTCTAAGGATATCTTCTGGATATAGGTACTCTATATGCCTTTAATCCACCAACAACCCTAGGAGGTGGGCACCATCGTTATCCCCAGATGTTACAGATCAGGAAACAGACTGTGAGAGGTGAAGTACCAGGCATTTAATATTCATTCTGTTACCAACCTCTCACTAACTAAATGTGGCACTATTTTCTCCATTTTATAAAAGAAGAGGGAAGCTCAGAGAGGTTAAGAAACTTTGCCCAAATCCAACAGCTACTAAAAAATAGATCCAGAACTGCAACTCCGACCTCTGACTTCGTTAAGATTCCATGTTCTTGTAGCTAGGTGATTAGGAGCCCAAGCAGGAGCCCGAGCATAGAGTCAGATGGTCCCAGTCCTGGCTGTGCTACTTATTTGCTGTGTGACTATGGACAAGTTCCTTAACCTCCCTGAGTCTAGTTGCTTAGTACCTCCCTCATTAGATTGTGAGGAGTCACTGAGATAATGTGGGGGAAGCACACGGCACAGTGCCGGGCACACGATGAGTCCCCAACAAATGTTAGCTATTACTGTTTGCAGCGTGGGTCTGATTTCTGATGGAGAAATCAGAAGCTTCATCTTCAAGCACCTTCTGCATAGGTAAAATATGAGGAAAGCTCTGGACAACACACAAATTACACCTCGCCTCCCCCACCTCCCGGGCACCATTCTTGGGCCTCAGATGAACTGTATCTGCAAACAGTCAGCCCCTGAATCTTTTTCAGAGCCCACATTATAGTTACTTTAGGAAGAACCACTCGTTCTTTGGCACTAATTCATTAGCTGGAAGCCTGTGGTAGACGGCTCATGGAGTTCCTGTGCTTTTTATACTTTTGTAAATATGCTTTGATGGGTCATAGGAATGAACCATGTAATCATTTAAGAGGCAAATAATACCGGTTCCTGGTTTTTTATTATTGTCCTTCCTTCGGTTTTAATCTGCTGACTCAGCTCCACACAAAAGAATCCAAACCGTCTGAGTTTGTGCATCAGAGATGCTAAATTACGCTGTATCATTTTACCTTTCAAAGTACACGGGGTTGGACAGAACGGTAAAGGACGCAGAGATGAAAGCAGGCCCTGCTCCTTTGCCCACAGTCCCTTTGAGGCTCAGTATCGGTGATGTGTGTGGAGTGCCAACCATGTGAAAATCAGTGTTCCAGGTCAACAAGACAGGGCCCCATTCTTCCAAGAATTCACTAGTGATCTGATGCACTAGACAGAACGTAGTACATGACAGAACGTAGTACATGCTGTAATAGAGGGCAATGGACTGTACATATGTCGGGGGAGAGTGGGACCACAGACATTGAAAAGGTTTGGATATTTTTTAATCCTTGCTGATTCTTTTCTCATCCATATAAGGCATACATTTTGTTTTTGTCTAACTCCTTTCTTAATCCGCATTATAACTGGCATCTGTGATATTGATTCACAACTGCATGGCCCTGGAACATGTTGGCATGAACTAACTACCCCATAAAGGTGTTTCCCTAATCCCAGGAGCCCCTGACCTGCCTGGTGAACTCCTCCACAGGAGCTCATTCTGAATCATGAGTTTTTAAAAACTACCATTTAATAAACTTTAGCTCTAAATATAATAAAATTTATTATTCCCACTTTTCTTTCTTGGCCTAGGTAAATATTTCCTGGGACGTATATATAAAATAAGTATCTTGTTGCTATTTTTTTTAAATGTGTTAAAATCTAATGTGGGTAGAATATATACTTCAGTATACTTCCCTATAGCAAGAAAAAGATAAGCACAATAGCATTATAGAAATAGATGAGAGGTGGCTCCAGATTTTTGTAATGTATCACTTATAATTGAAACAGATCAGACTAGCATTTATTTTTCCTAGTTTAATTTTTAGGGAAGTTAGGCTATGTTAATAATGAGAGGAATTAAGCATGACACTTTGTGTTTTGACAGTAAAACTTAGCACTTTTATTGTCTGGGTAAAGTTAATTTCTCATCTATATCAATAAAGTTCTCCAAGAAACATAAATATGTAATACTGAGAGAGTAGCATGAAGCTCACAGTAATACGTCTTCTGTAGTACCTTGGGACCACCTTGTAGATGCAAAAAGATAAATAAATCACTGTTATTTTGGTGGCTAAACACTGCTCTCCTCCTTAGGTGAGGTCCAAGGCAGACCACCTACCCCCTCCTGAATCCCACCCCCTGGCAATTAGCATTAGTGCCCTCTAATCTAGGGAAATGTCATAGATCAATGTGATACCAAGATATTATCTTTATCTCAACAGACATTCTGATCCTGACTCATTCTGAATTTAAACTGTATATATTATGTGATGTTTTGTAGAGTGATGACAGAGAAACAGACACAGCATCAGAAAGCAGTTACCAGCTCAGCAGACACAAGAAGAGCCCCAGCTCTTTAACCAATCTTAGCAACTCCTCTGGCATGACGTCCTTGTCTTCTGTATGTAAACAAAGGCTCCGTGTTAATACCTCACCTCTCCTGCAAACCTCTCTGCCACGCTCCTGCGACCTGTATAATGGCCTCCTGTTGTAGTCTCCGATTCCAAGGGCTGAGCTTTTCCTCTCATCCACCATTGGCTTCCAGCTAGCTAAATCCTCCTTTTACTTTTCTTTTATTTAAGCATAAAAACTCATTATAAAACAATATGGTTTTTTGGATCTAAGGGCTTCAAAAATAAACCTAAATTACCAAACAGAACAAACCACTGAATTTTTCTGTGAAAACAAAGGGTTAACCATTATCAAGTCAGCTTATAACAGATATGCTTTTATATACCACTGACAGATATAGAATTGTGCCTCTTTTTTTAGCAAGCCTGATGACTAAAAGTACTGATTCATATAAAAGAGTGGGAGAGGTGGTTCTTTGCCTTATAAAAGGATTCCAAACAGGGTTTTAAAAGCAAAGCTCCCTAAGTGTAGTTGCTTCACATAGACATTCTTTCATAAAGTGAGGTCGGTCTGTGTGCAAGTGTGAGTAGAAATAAATATATATAGATGTAAATATATCTACATACACTAATCCAGACATTTCTCTGATATACATACACATGCTAAACAAAAAATAAAGCTGTGTTTAAATGCTTACTAGCCACACATTTGTTTAACTTCGTTTTAAGAATCTGTTTAAGTTGAATTTCTGCTGGCAACAATTTAATGTATGGTCTTGGGGAGGCTCTAAACTCCCTTCATCAATCATTCATTTTCTCCCCTTCCTGACCTCTGAAAGCGTATGGCTCAGTAAGCATTTTCCTAGATTCTGCGGATGGCCAACACAGTAAAATTCCTTTTTAGTGCCTTGGAAATTTGATAGAGCAATGTGTCATTGTGATTTGTGTGCCTGGGGTTTCTCACATCCTCTTTCTTTAGCATTTTAAATACTAAGTGTGCCTAAAAATGGAATGGTGAAAACCCCTTACCATAAAATCACCTGTGAAATGAGCCAGCATCTAAGGAACTTTGCATTTCTCTTTGCATCGAAGTCTCGTAAGGGCCACATTTTTAAACACTGGTCATGTCATATATATCATGTCAGGTTATCGGTGTTGGTGTGTCTTAATGCCTTATTAAATGAATGGCTTTTATATGCAAACTAGAGAAATAATGGCAAGCACAGTTTATATCTGTGATCCTTGCGTTGGGTTCAAGATTGAGACAGAAACGAACACGGCATGTTTCCAACGGTTTCAGGTGAGTGGCAGCATGACGAGCATTTGCAGTGGAGACTTTGGCAATCTGGAGGTGAAAGGGAGTATCCAGTTTGCAGTGGAATATGTGAACTCAATGAAGGAGCTGCACGTCTTTGTGGCCCAGTGTGAAAACTTAGCCGCCGCAGACGTGAGAAAACAGCGTTCAGACACGTGAGTTCACCTGGAGTCCCTGTTTCCTCGTCGTTACTCTTAATCTTGCAGGAATTGGGAAAGGAAGGAAGTCATTGAAGGGAGGTGTGTGTGTGAGTCTGTTAAAAGGAATGTTTGGAAGGGGAAAGTTGGGACGAGGAGAATGCTGTTTTACTTACTTTACATATTCAGATGCCAAACTTGTTAAATGGCAAAAATGTCAGAGAAGCCCAAAATATTCAAGCTGGCAGCAACTTTTGAGTCCAGGTCCTCCTTCTTACAGATAAGGAAACAAGGGCCAGAGAAGATAAGCAGCCTATTTATATAAATTCAGACAGTGAGTGGGGAAAATGAGGAATGAGGGCTTGAACCCCAGACCTTGGTCTCTTTCCATGGTGCTCTCAAACTTTCTCTAAAGTCAGGGATATGTGGGGCATGCTTCATAATGTTCAGTGGTGCAGAATTAGTTAAGATTCTTGAATGAGGTAGTTTCCATATTTAAATTATATTCTACAGAAGGACTCGAGGGGGAATCACCAAGATCTCTGAAATCACAGGTTTAAATACCTTTCAGTTTGTTTGAAAAGTGGAATGGTATTCCTCACTATCCCCATGCAGAAGTCTGATTCTTTGTTATTTTGCTAGCATAAGCCCAGTTCTTTTTCCTTGTATTATAGAAACAACCGAGCTCAATATCCTTTTATTTACATTGAATATGGCTTGATTAGTTGTATGCTAACATTAATTTTTATTTTAAAAAACAGTCACAAAAACTTTTCAAAAAAAACAATTCTGCCAACACCAAAGCCTTTTTTAATACAAAAAAGCCAGTGGAATTAAACACTGTTAGAGATGTGTTGTCCTTCCTTTCTCCCTGTTACGTAAGGAAAGGAATTAATTTGTAATCAGTTCCACTGAAATAGCTTTAAACTTTTAAGTATAAAGGTGTTGGTGGAGCATGTATTACTTGCTGCTTTTCTCATTATCATGAAAGAATTATTTCTGTCAATTTCCAATGCATTTTTTAAAAGCAGAGGTTGAAACATCACTTTAATTTTCTCTGGCTTTCTTGTCTGTTCAATTCTCTTTTTAGATATGTAAAGATTTACCTGTTACCAGACAAGGGCAAAATGGGCAAGAAGAAAACAGTTGTTGTGAAGAAAACTTTGAATCCTGTGTTTAACGAGATACTGCGGGTATCTATCTATGAATCCTCTATCTAGGAAAATCCTAAATGGTGACCTGTATGTTTAGCCATGTCTTCTTGAGTAGTATCTCTATAGATGAAGTCAGTTACCCAGAGAGAAGGAAAGGAATCAACATTTTCTGAGAATCTGCTTTGTGAGATAATATGCCACAACTGTTGTATGCAGTATATCATTCACTCCCCGCGAGCCCTGCCAGCCGGGTATTATTATCTATCTCACAGATGCAGCAAAGGAAGCTTAGAGCAATAAAATAACTTGTTCAAGTATACACAGCTGATGGAGTTGAGCACTGCAACCAAAATGATCCAAAAGCACTGTTCTGATCGTGGTACTTCTCTGCTTAAACAGGTTTTAGGATTCCTGTTACCCTTAGGGTAAAGTCCATTTTTTTTTTTTAAAGAATATTTTTTTCATTTATCTTCAGATAGAGTGGGAGGGAGAGAGAGAGAAACATTGACGTGTTGATTGGTTGCCTCTGGCACAACCCCAACCAGGGCCAGGGCCAAGTGCCCTTGAATGGAATCAAACCCGAGACTCCTTGGTCTGCAGGCCGACACTCTAACCGCTGAGCCAAACTGTCCAGGGCAAGTCCATTCTTATCAGGCACACCAGTCCCTTCACAACCTGAGCTCCAGCCTCATCTTTTCGGTCAGTCTTTGTTCAGGATACCCTGATTCTTTTCTGTACTTGGAAGAACTACATTTTCTCACTCCACTGGGCCTTGTGTTTCCTCAGGCTGGAATATCCCTCCCCACGGTTTACCCCAACTGCCTCCTACAGCCTGAGGTGCCTCTTCCTAGGAACAGCTGTCCATAACCCCTCAGGCCCCTGCTGCCTCAGTTTTCTTGCTTTACAATGGGCTACATTAACTCTCAGCACATTACTGGTTTGTCTGCTTTCACCATTACATTATAAGTCCCCAAGGGCAGAGACCAACTCTCTGTTGTTTATAAACTGTACGCCCTTAGGTGAATGACTTAACCCATCTGCACTTCACACCCGAAAAAGGTAGATAATAATAGTACCTACCTACCTACCACAGTAGTTGTGAATGTTAAAGAGTTTGTATATGTGAAGAGAGGATACATTAAAACTTCATCAACGATGACATTTAGTCCGGTGTGTGAGGTAGGTACTCAAATGCTTATTGGAAGGATAGATGGATGGGCAAAGGCATGGAAAGTATACCTGACTCAAATATCAATATTCTGCCTCCCCCCGCAAACTGCATCATGCTACCTTAGTCATGAGTAACATAATTTAAAACCAAAAATAGAAGTATTATTCATCCCCTCTTTCTGAAAATTCTGTCCCAGTATTTGGTTATTCTATGAGAAAAGGAGTTAAATTAATTCTCGGTCATCCATGGTTGAATTTTCTGTAGCAAGTTTTTAATTATGGTTTGACTGTGCTATACCTCAGTACTCTAGCTATTTCTAGGTCAGCTACTCCAGCCCTATACTCAGGAAAAGCCAGATAATTTAAATAGTAAACTCAAGAGAAAAACAAGTCTGCTGCAACCAAAATGGACATTCAAGTAGTATATCATAAAACCAAATAGAGATTATTTTTAGATTAGGAGTACTATTATCCCATCCATGATTACATATAATCAAGGATTGACTGTATTTTAGATGAAAAACTTTTAGGATGGCAAATATTTTCTTCTTGACCATATGAAGCAGGAAAAAAAAATGAGGATATCTTTTCTTGAAATATTCCTTGTCTTTGTAGGATAGCGAGTGGGAGAGGCTATGTGTATATGGTGGTAGGTGGTATGTGGAAACTCACTACTTTTCACTCCATTTTGCTGTGAATCTAAAACTGCTCTAAAAGCCCAGCTGGGATGGCTCAGTGGATTGAGTGTCATCCCATGGACTGAGAGGTCCTGGTTTGATTCCCCATCAGGGCACGTGCTCAGGTTTCGGGCTTCATCCCCAGTAGGGGGCATGCAGGAGGCAGCCAGTCGCTGTTTCTCTCTCACATCGATGTTTCTCTCTCTCTAAAAACAATAAAAACATATTTAAAACTTCTCTAAAAAAATGCCTGCTTAAAAAATATACCTCGTCCTTAGGTAGAAAACAGACCATTGATTAAACTTCATTTGTATTTTTAGACCAAATTTGATTTATATTATACCTAGCTAGAACTAAAAACATCCAGTAAAAATTGAATAATCGGCTTTTATTTCTAGAGAGCTATTACCGGCTATGATATTTGAGCAGTGGTTTGCTTTTTCCAAAAGGGCAAAGAAAATCAACTTTTGTGAAAGATGGATTTTAGCTCTTTGAAACAAGACACTTAGAATAAGATGACTTTGCAATATTCTTGAGACTTGAAACCTAACAGATGAGAAAATCTGATCTGCACAGATGACTTTTCTCTTCATCTCTGTGTCATAACTTCGGCATAAAGTAATATTATTTGCCCCTTTAATTTTCTTCTTTGAACTGCAGTATAAAATTGAAAAGCAAATGTTGAAGACACGAAAGCTGAACCTCTCGGTATGGCATCGTGATACATTTAAACGCAATAGTTTTCTGGGGGAAGTGGAACTTGATTTGGAAACTTGGGACTGGGACAACAAACAGAATAAAGTCTTGAAGTGGTATCCTCTGAAGCAGAAGGTGAGTTCAGAGTTTTTTTCATTGATTGGTTGGTTGGTTGGTTGGTTGGTTGGTTGGTATGAGGCCTGGTGTGTAGGAGAAAGGTACTATACAAAATTGCATTTCCATTCAGAATGCTTTTCCATAGTTTTGGATCATTTTCTCTTCTCTGTGTCATGTCTCTTATTCTCTTTTCTGTAATTCTCTTTTTACCCCCCTCTGTATGCTTCAGTTTGGCTGTTTTTCGCTAACCTATCTTTCAGTTCAATAATTTTCTTATCTTCTATGTCTAATCTGCTGTGATGCCCAACTACCAGTTCTCAATTATTCTATTTTTCTGATTTATATTTTCATTTGATTCTTTTTTATACATGTCACTTCTCTGCTAAAAAATCTCCATCTTAACAGTATCTTCATAAATACGTTAATCAGAGTTATGGGAAGAGTGTATCTGAAAACTCCAATATCTTAAACATTTGTGATTCTCTCCTACCTAAATTTTTATTTTATTTTGGTCATTTGGTCCTTTGTCCTAGTATGCCTATTCATTTGTTATTGCATGCTGGACATTGCATATGAAAAATTCTCGGGATAACTTGAGAGGGTTTACTTTTGCTTCTGACACACAGAGTAGGGACAGGCCACTTTAATCTAGTCTGGGAATGAACTGACTGGGAGCTGGGGTCCAGAAGTGGGGCAGATAAGGTCCTGTAACAGAGTACAACAAATAGGGCAAGTCGTTTGTGTCTCACATCTGCTGACATTCCTTTGTTTTTCAGACAGCACCAGTTGCCCTTGAAGCAGAAAACAGAGGTGAAATGAAATTAGCTCTCCAGTATGTCCCACAGCCAATTCCTGGTATGAAATGATTCTCTGTCCAGATTTATGTCCTTTCCTTATCTCCCACTCTCCAAGGGTTTCTTTGGGTTCTATGATATTTTCAAAGGTGAAGCCCTAAACAAACTTACTAACTTAGTAATCATATAAACCAAATGAGTCAATTCACAGTTGCAAACTAGAAAATTCTCATTTTTTATTGCGATAAAAACACATACAGTTTACCATCTTAACCATTTTTAAGTGTACCAATGATAGTGTTAAGTATATTCACATTGTTGTGAAGCAGATCTTCAGAATGTTTTCATCTCATATATATCTATAACTCTATACCCATTGCCTACTGATGGTAGTTGGCACTAATTCAGGGCAATAGGAATCCCCAATTTGGGGTGCAGTGAAGAAGGAAACTGTATTCAGTTCTAATACAGTGCGGCAGTGCCGGGCCTCCTCAACGGTCTGCTCTGGAGAGACATCACTGGTGTTTCAGCTCAGCCAGGGAGACATAGTCTTCATTCTACAATGGAACGGGAAAATGTGCTTCCCAAGCCAGAGGGGAGCTGGCTTATATGGACTGAAGTCCCCATACCCCTGGTATCTGGTTGGTCTGTCCTCATGCAAATGAGGACTCCAAATCCTCACAGTTTGATTGGTCCAAAAAGCACTGTCCTCCTGACTGGTCAGAACAGAACTGCTCTGATTGGTTAGAGTTGCACAGCTCTGACTGGATGGCGAAAGCCTCTATCTTACTGGTTGAAATAGGATTCCAGGAAATCTTTATAAGGGCTAGGTCAGATGGCAGAAACACAGTGCAGGCAGGCAGGCCGTATAGCATAGAGGCTTCTCTGCAAAGTGCAGTTTGCATGAGAAGCCTCTGTGCAGAAATGGCTGCTAGGCTCTGCTTTTTCACTTGATCCCAGTTAGCCACCAGGAGCCCTTATTAGTAGGTGTCTTTTTTTTTTTTCTTCTCAGGGTTCATATCATTGAACTACAAAACCCCTCTCCCTCTTTCCCTCAGCTCCTGGTAACCACCATTCTAGTTTCTGTTTCTGTGAGAAAAAAGTCTCATTTTTCCCCAAGTCCAGTTTCCAGTCCTTATTTTAACTTGCACCTCACTCTTCAAAAAGGTTGTATCTGCACAATGTGAATGACCTTTTCGATATTCAGAATTTGGACCTATTGACAGTGCTGTAATAAGAATGGAACCTGAATGTTGTTTTTCACAGGTAGAAATTGGAAGAATTCATATGAACCCCTAAGAAATTAGAACTCATTGGTCTGCCATTCTCAAGATCTCATCAGGAGAGAAAACTATTCCTGAGGATTACTAATCCTTGATGTTAGGGCCTCAGGTCTGCAGCCCTCTTAAGGAACAAGAGACAGGCAGGAAATGAATGCCAGCCCCCCTCTCATTTCCCAAGCAAGTTCCTCAAGTTATTCACCTTAAGAATCTGTATGAATGTTATGGCTGAAATCTGGGATTGTACACTCAAATGCTTTCAGTAATCAAGCAGTGAAGCTAGTGGGATGGAAGACATAATGAATGGTGAGGGCAGTGACTCAACTAGAGAAAGACATTCTAATTCAGCTGGGGGAGAGGGAAGGGAAGAACTGGAGGACAGGCTAACATATCTTTAGGTCAAATGGCTGCCAAACCACTCTCTTGTTACTTCTGGGTCTTTCTAAAAGGCAAATTCTTTCATATATAATTTGTATCCTATCATTTATGGTCAGCATGCATAAAAATTCTGCCAATCTCATTTCCCATTTTCTCCACTATCATTTCTTGGTGGTGTGAGCTGGGGTACTGTGTTGTGATGGGCTCCACCTTGTCTCAATCTTTACTCATGTAGTTTCTCTTCTCTGTATTGGCTTTATCTTCTGCTCAACCTATCCAAGTCTTAGATGAAGTCTTGTCTCCCCCATATAGCTTTTCCTATCTTCCCTCTCACTGATTACATATCTGCTAAAAACAGGGGTGGGGAAACTTTTCTCTGCCAAGGTCATTCGGATATTTATAACATCACTCGAGGGCCATATAAAATAAAATGATCAACTTAAAAATTAGCCTGCTATATTAGTCAGTATAATTTGGTGAAGGCGTGTGGTGTTAGCTGGTATTGATTTCACGGGCCATATGTGGCCCGTGGGCTGGATGTTCCCCACCCCTATCATAGAACATTACAGTAATAACTTGGCATTTCATCCCTTATTACATTTTTGTAGTTTTTATTAAATTGGTTTCTCTAGCTTAATGGTAAACATTTTTCAAGGGCATAGATTTCTTGTATTCTTTGTATATTCAATGACATTCCTAGCATAGGGCTGAATACATAATACTCGTTAAATACTGGTTAGTTGACTAATTGGGTTATCTCATCCAGAAAAATATGATAGTATCCCTCTGTCCAGGTGCACCCAAACTAGATAACAACTTCAGATGAAACTTTTCATTAATTCCATATTCATAATGTTCACTTTTATGTGTGAATATATAGTCTTATAAAATGTGTAACTTTTTACACTCTTACTTTTATTTTTTTTTTTTTTATTTTTTTTATCCTCACTCGAGGATATTTTTTTTATTTTTTGTACAGATAGAGTTGGAGGGATAGAGAGGAAGGGAGAGAGAGAGAGAAACATCGACGTGAAGGGACACATCGAGCGGCTGCCACCCGCACGACCGACCAGGGCCGGGGACAAACTGCAACCGAAGTACGCGCCCTTAGCGGGAACCGAACCCGGTCTCTCCGGACCGCAGGCCGACGCTCTAACCGCTGAGCCAAACTGGCCAGGGCTACACTCTTACTTTTAACAAGAAGAATGACTTTATGTTAGCCAGTACCTGTTTTGGTAACTTAATAATAATGTGTTTAAAATACCTCCTGTCAGCACCAATTAATACTGGTATCAGTATTTAAAAGGTATATTCATTTTCCTGAGATATTACTGATACAAGTATAAATGGATGACTCACATACTTGATATCTATAATTGATCCTGTTGAGCCAGCAAAACCCAACAAGAATGAAGTAATACTCTGTACTGGGAATCAATACAAATTATTTTTATACAGCTATCTGAGCTCAGTACAACCAGACTATAAAAGATATAATTAAGACTGTATGGGAGCATTCAAACCATTTACATTTGAGGTGATTATTGATATGTACTTATTTATTGCCATTTTTGTTTAGTGTGGTTCTATTTTTCTTCCCATTTCTACTGCTAATTACAGCAATCCTTTTAACATTTCTTGCAGTGCTGGTTTGGTGCTAATGTATTCCCTTAGCCTTTTTTTTTTTTGTCTGGGAAGCTCTTAATTTGACCTTCTATTTTGAATGATAGCCTTGCTGGGTAGAGTAGTCTTGGATTCAGATCCTTGTTTTTCATGACCTTGATTACTTCATGCCATTCCCTTCTGGCCTGTAGTGTTTCTTGTGAGAAGTCATCTGAGAGCCTTATGGGGTTTCCTTTGTAGGTAACCTGTTGCTTATCTCTTGCTGCTTTTAGGATTTTCTCTTTGTCTTTCATTTTTGGCAGTTTGATTACTATGTGTCTTGGTGTGGGCCTGTTTGGGTTCTTCTTACTTGGGGCTCTCTGTGCTTCTTGAACTTGAATACCTTCTTCCTTCACCAAATTAGGGAAATTTTCTGTCACTATTTCTTTGAATATATTCTCTAACCCTTGCTCATTTTCTTCTTCTTCAGGGACTCCTATGATGTGAATATTATTCCGTTTCCAGTTGTCCCACAGTTCTCTTAAGCTGTCTTCCTGTTTTTTAATCGTTTTTTCCTTTTGGGTTTCTGATTGGTTGATTTTTTCTACCCTGTCTTCTAATTCACTGATCCTGTCCTCAGCTTCCCCTACTCTGCGTTTTAGACCTTCCCATGTGTTTTTCATTTCTGATATGTCATTCTTCATTTCTTGTTGGTTTTTAATTACCAACTGGTTGATTTTCAACATTTCTATGTCTTTACTCATGGTGCTCATATCCTTACACATGCTGTTGAGCATCCTCAACATCATGGCTCTAAATTCTAGTTCTGTTAACTTGCTTAACTGCACCTCATTTATCTCATCTTCCGTAGAGGTCTCTTGTTCATTCTTTTGGCTGAGTAGCTGATTGGATAAGAAAGCATGACTCATCTATATGTTGTTTACAAGAGACCCACCTCACAACAAAAGACTCACATAGATTGAAAGTGAAGGGATGGAAAAAAATCTTCCAAGCACACGGAAAAGAAAAAAAAGCTGGGGTAGCAATACTCATATCTGATAAAATAGATTTCAGAATAAAGGCCATAACTAGAGACAAAGAAGGCCACTACATAATATTGAAAGGATCTATCCAACAGGAAGATATAACCTTGATAAACATATATGCACCCAATATAGGAGCACCAAAATATATTTAAAAACTTCTGGAGGACTTCAAAGGGGAAATTGATAGCAATACAATCATAGCAGGGGACTTCAACACCCCCCTGACATCACTGGATAGATCCTCTAGATAAAAAATTAGCAAGGAAACAGAGACTCTAAATGAAGCACTAGACCAAATGGATTTAATAGATGTCTACAGAGAACTACACCCCAAAACTACAGAATTCACATTCTTCTCAAGTGCACATGGGACATTCTCAAAGATAGACCACATGATAGGACACAAAATAAGTCTCTACAAGCTCAAGAAGATTGAAATCATATCAAGCATCTTCTCAGATCACAATGGTATGAAACTAGAAATCAATTGCAAGAAGAACATACAAAGACATTTGAACACATGGAAGCTAAATAGCATGTTATTAAACAATGAATGGGTCACCGAGGAGATCAAGGAAGAAATCAAAAACTTCCTGGAAACCAATGAAAATGAAGACACAACAACACAAAATCTATGGGTTGCAGCGAAAGCAGTTCTGAGAGGGAAGTTCATAGCACTACAGGCCTACCTCAAAAAAGAAGAAAAATCTCTAATAGATTATCTAACCTCACAACTTAAAGAACTAGAGAGCAAAAAAAAGAAAACCCCAGAGCAAGTAGAAGGTAGAAAAGAGTAAAGATCAGAGCAGAAATAAATGACATAGAGACCAAAAAACCAATTCAAAGGATCAATGAAACAAAGAGCTGGTTCCTTGAAAAGATAAACAAGATTGATGGACCCTTAGCTAGACTCACCAAGAAACAAAGAGAGAGAACCCAAATACACAAAATCAGAAATGAAAGAGGAGAGGTAACAACTGACACCACAGAAATACAAAAGATCGTAAACAACTACTATGAACAATTATATGGCAACAAATTCGACAATCTAAGCAAAATGGCCAAATTTCTAGAAACACATAGTCTCCCAAAACTGGATCAGGAAGAGATAGAAAACTTGAACAGACCAATAACAACAAAAGAAATTGAAGATGGAATCAAGACTCTCCCAGCAAACAAAAGCCCAGGCCCAGGCTTCATGGGGGAGTTTTACCAAACATTCAAAGAAGAACTAATACCCATTCTCCTCAAACTATTTCAAAAAATTCAAAAAGAAGGAAGACTTCCAAACCCGTTTTATGAAGCCAGCATAATTCTATTTCCAAAACCAGAAAAATACACAACAAAGAAAGAAAACTACAGGCCAATATCCCTGATGAACATAGATGCCAAAATTCTGAACAAAATACTAGCAAATTGGATCCAGCAATACACCAAAAAAATTATCCACCATGACCAAGTGGGATTCATCCCAGGGATGCAAGGCTGGTACAATATTCGCAAATTAGTAAATGTGATACACCACATAAATCAAATGAAGAATAAAAACCACATGATAATATCACTAGATGCTGACAAAGCCTTCCACAAAATCCAGCATCCATTTCTGATAAAAATGCTCAGCAGTGTGGGAATAGAGGGATCATATCTAGACATAATAAAGGCCATATATGAAAGACCTACAGCAAACATCATACTCAATGGGCAAAAACTAAAAGCATTTCCCTAAAGAATAGCAACAAGGCAGGGATGCCCACTTTCACCACTCCTATTTAACATAGTACTGGAAGTCTTAGCCACAGCAATCAGACAGGAAGAAAAAATAAAAGGGATCCAAATTGGAAAGGAGGAAGTGAAACTGTCATTATTTGCAGATGACATGATACTATACATAGAAAACCCCAAAGACTCCATCAAAAGTTTACTAGACTTAATAAATGAATTTGGCAAAGTAGCAGGATACAAAATTAACGTCAAGAAATCGATGGCATTCTTATACACCAATGATGAACTCACAGAAAGAGAAACTAAGAAAACAATCCCATTTACCATTGCAGCAAAAAAATTAAGATACCTAGGAATAAACTTAACCAAAGAAATAAAGGACCTATTCGCAGAAAACTACAGGTCATTGAAAAAAGAAATAGAGGAAGATATTAAAAAGTGGAAGCACATACCCTGTTCATGGATTGGGAGAATTAACATCATTAAAATGTCCATATTACCGAAAGCAATCTATAGATTCAACGCAATCCCCATCAAAATACCAACGGCATACTTCACAGAATTAGAACAATTATTTCAAAAGTTCATATGGAACCAAAAAAGGCCTCGAATAGCCACAGCAATCTTGAAAAAGAAGAACAAAGTTGGAGGGATCACAATACCAAATTTCAGGTCATACTACAAAGCCACTGTAATCAAAACAGCCTGGTACTGGCACAAGAACAGGCATATAGACCAGTGGAACAGAACAGAGAACCCAGAAATGGACCCAAGGCAATATGCTCAATTAATATTTGACAAAGGTGGCAAGAGCATACAATGGAGTAAGGACAGCCTCTTTAATAAATGGTGCTGGGAAAATTGGACAGCTACTTGCAGAAAAATGAAACTAGACCATCAACTTACACCCTATACGAGAATAAACTCAAATGGATAAAAGACTTAAATGTAACTCATGAATCCATAAAAATCCTAGAAGAGACTGTAGGCAACAAAATTTCAGACATCATACGCAGCAGAATTTTTACTGACACATCACCTAAGGCAATAGAAACAAAGGAGAAAATGAACACATGGGACTACATCAAACTCAAAAGCTTCTGCACAGCGAAAGATACAATCATCAAAATGGAAAGGCTACCTACTGTATGGGAGAGCATAACTGCCAATGATATATCAGATAAGGGGTTAATTTCCAATACATATAGAGTGCTCATACAACTCCACAAAAGGAAGACAAAGAATCCAATTAAAAAATGCGCAGAGGAGCTGAATAGACACCTCTCCAAACAGGACATACAAATGGCTAAGAAACATATGAAGAAATGCTCAACATCACTAATAATCAGAGAGATGCAAATTAAAACAACAATGAGGTATCACCTCACACCTGTCGGAATGGCCGCCATCAACAAATCATCAAACAACAAGTGTTGGCGAGGGTGTGGAGAAAAGGGGACTCTAGTGCACTGCTGGTGGTAATGCAGACTGGTGCAGCCACTATGGAAAACAATATGGTGTTACCTCAAAAAATTAAAAATTGAACTTCCATTTGACCCAGTGATCCCACTTCTAGGAATATACCCTAAGAAGCCTGAAACACCAATCAGAAAGAATATATGTACCCCCATGTTTGTAGCAGCACTATTTACAATAGCTAAGATCTGGAAACAGCCCAAATGTCCATCAGTAGACGAATGGATCAAAAAGCAGTGGTACATATACACAATGGAGTACTATGCAGCTGTAAGAAAGATAGATCTCTTATCCTTTGAAACTACATGGAGGGACCTGGAATGTATCATCCTAAGTGAAACAAGCCAAACAAGAGAAAGACAAGTTTCATATGATCTCACTTGATTTGTGGAATATAATGAACATAACAGTCTGAGGAATGGGGTAGTCCCAGAGATGTGGAAGTGGGGTACAGACTGACAATCCCCTAAAGAGGGGGGTGGTGGGGGAGAGATAAAGCACAGAACGTATATGCATGTATGCATGAACAGTGGACATGGACAACAAACTGGGGGAAAGGGCAGGAGGAAGAGGGAGGAGGAATCAATGGGGGAAAAAGGAGAAACATCTGTAACAATAATTAATTAATAAAAAAATAAAAATAAAAAGAATGTATAGCCCTGGCCAGTTTGGCTCAGCAGTTGGAGTGTTGGCCTGCGGACCAGAGTGTCTCGGGTTCGGTTCCCACTAAAGGCATGTACCAAAAAAAGAAAAAGAATGTATAGATTTGCCCAGCTGGTGTGGTTCAGTGGTTGGGCATCAACCCATGCACCAAGAGGTCACCGGTTCGATTCCTGGTCAGGTCACTTGCCCAGGTGGTGGGCCCAATCTCCCCCCCAGTGGGGAGCATGCAGGAGGTGGCCAATTGATGTCCTCTCTCATTGATGTTTCTGTCTCTCTCTCCCTGCCCCTTTCTCTCTCTCTAAAAATCAATAAAGAAAATTTTTTTTAAAAGAATGTATAGATTTAACCAATTAGGAGTATATATCGTCTATCACTAGCTGGTATCTCTGTGCTAGGCCATTTTTAGATTGACATCTTTAGATGCAGTATTGCTAAGAGAGGAATGGTAGTACAAAAAATTTCTCTTGTTTTTCTTTTATAGGTAAAAATCTTCCTACAGCTGGAGAAGTGCACATCTGGGTGAAGGAATGCCTTGATCTACCACTGCTAAGGGGCAGCCATCTAAATTCTTTTGTTAAATGGTAACAACATTGCTAACTCTGCCTCCATCAGTTCTACAGTAGCCTGGCCTTAGCTGGTTGATTTTAGTTCTCTATATCTGTGATGCTAAAACTCATCATCCATAGTTTAAATGAAGTAACTTTGAGATAGTGACTCCATGAACTAGAGGGATCTGTGACATGAACCCAACAAGGCTTCATATAGTTTTAAAGTCATAAAGATATGAGGACATATAAAAGTGAAACCAGAGACCACATACTCAGGCATGTAATGACTTCTGGGAGGTATATTTACTGGTGGGAACAATATTCAGCACTTAGAGTTTATGCAGTTTCTAATGGGGGGATGTTACCCCCTTGGTGCCTTAGGAAAGCACCTGTTTTGTGGCCCAGTTGTAAAAGGCCTTTGGCATCAGCCTGCAAATACCTGGAAAATTATTTACAAAACATACCTGTACTAATAGCTCATAAGCACTTAAGACACTTTGGGTTCTTAAGTGGCAAACTTTTTCTCTGTTACACATATAAATGCCTGTTATCTAGTAAATAGTAACTAGATAGATATTAGTGTGCCATATCCTAGTTGCCTCTAATTGTGTCTGTAAGTATTCTACCAGAAGTCCAGTTGTAGCTATTTAATTTTCTCTGACATTGTTTATGATTTTCCTTCTACATGTCCTTTTTTAGACTAAATTTATTGGGGTAACATTGGTTAATAACATTATGTAAGTTTCACATGTAAAGTTTTATAACACATCATCTATATAGTGCATTGTGTGCTCTTCACCCAAAGACTACTCTCCTATCACCATATATTTGACCCATTTTATCCTCTTCATCTTCCCATCATCCCCTTTCTCCCTGGTAACTGCCATACTGTTGTCTTTGTCTGAGTTTGCTTTGTTTGTGTTTATGTTGTTTTCTGTTTTATATCTCATATATGGATGAAAATGTATGGTTCTTGTCCTTTCCCACCTGACTAATTTCACTTAGTATGATACACTCAAGATCCACCCACATTGTTGCAAGTGGCAATATTTCATTGTTTTTTAATGGCTGAGTAGTATCTCATTACATAAATGTGCCACATCTTCTTATCCAATCATCCACTGAAGAACATTTAGGTTGTTTCCACATCTGTTGTGAATAATGCTGCAGTGAACATAGGGGTATGAATACCATACACAAAAATGAACTCAAAATGGATTAAAGACTTGATTGTAAAACTGAAACAGTAAAATACATCGAAGAAAACATTTGTACTAAACTTACAGACCTTGGTCTCAGAGGGATTTTGTGAGCTTGACCCCAAAGGCAAGGGAAGTAAAAGCATAAAATAAATGAATGGGGCTGCATCAAACAAAAAAGCAAAAGAAACCATCAACAAAACAAAAAGGCAACACATTCTTCATAGACTCAGCAGGTAAAAATTTTCATCTCCGGTCAGTCTCCTATTTTGAAACTAGTCCCAGACCTTCTTGCCTTTATAAGGGGCATGATGGGTTAAAGTTAATTCAGTTATTACCATGAATTAAATGTAAGTGATTACAAATATGTAATTTATTTCCCACATCAAATCTAACAAATTGGAGAGGTTTCTTTTCTTTTTCAATCCTGTACAAGACAAATGCTTTAGGCTATCACAGATAATCAGCAATAGTCTGCACTATTTGCTACATATAAGCACTTACTAAGTGCAGGAACTGAGCTAAGTTGTCTGCTTAATATTAACCTTATAAAGTGTGGGCATTATCTTATAGATGAAGAAGCAAGTGTCTGAGAGGTTAAGTATCTTTCCCTACAATACACAGCCACTAAGTGGCAGAGCCAGGATTCAAAGCAAGTCTGGTCCACTCTAAGGCTCATTCTTTCCAGCAGGATGGCCCCCACCATCAGCACTGTTTCTCTAAACACTCTTTCCTTCCCTTCCTTCCACCAATCCTCAGCAGCTGTGTTGAAGTGCACTGAAACCATGAATGTTCACTATCTCATTAAAATCTTCTCACAATAATGTTTCCTTGTGTAGCACTATCCTCCCAGATACAAGTAAGAAAAGTCGCCAGAGAACAAGAGCTATAGGGAAAACCACCAACCCTGTCTTCAACCACACCATGGTGTATGATGGGTTCCGGCCTGAAGATATGATGGAAGCTTGTGTAGAGCTTACCGTCTGGGACCATTACAAATTAACCAACCAGTTTTTGGGAGGTCTTCGGATTGGCTCTGGAACAGGTAATATTTGCTACATTTTTAATTTTCTATGAGCCAAATGCTTCAGGAGACACTAGAGGGTTGTTGTTTGCTAATGAAAACAGATATTCCTGTTAAGTGTAATGAAATGAATGAGTGAAGGAGTATCAAGCTGTGTGCTAAGGGCTCTGGATACGAAGATTAACAGGATGCAGTGTTTGTCCACATAGAGCTCACCTTATTGTGGGGGGAACAGGAGAGTCCTCATCACTACTCTTTCCTGAAGAAAGGTTTATGACCCTTCATAGCTAAAAGTGTGCTTTGAGTAATAATAGTAACTAACATTTATGGAGCATTAGTCACTGTACTGAGTGCTTTATTTGCATTATTTCACTTAATCCTCACAGCAATTCAGTGAGTCACTAATGTTATCACCAGAATAATTGTCCTTCTAAGAAATTCACAGAGCTAATAACTGGCAAAGCCAAGATTCAGAATTGAGTCTGTTCAACTCTAAAGCTGTAACCATACTTTCTTAGATATTAGCTAGTGTCACTTCCAACTCAGTGTGGGAATCCTTCCTATCACTTCCCTATGCCTGTGACAGATTGTCACCTAGCTTTTACTCTGAGAACAGAGTACTCATCTCAGATGATTAAACAGACCTTCCTTATATTAGGTCCCAGATCTTCCCTTCTGGTGAAGTTAAAACTCTTTCTACTGACTTCCATTGGTGATTATAATTAAAGAATGACTCCTTTTTCCCCTCCAATGATCTATTCCTTTCTTAATGCAAAGCTTCCTTTTTTAGGTAAAAGCTATGGTATTGAAGTGGATTGGATGGACTCGACTTCAAAGGAAGCTGATTTCTGGGAAAAGATGGTAAATTCCCCCAACACATGGATTGAAGCAACCTTGCCTCTCAGAATGCTGTTGATTGCTAAGATTTCCAAATGAGCCCAAAGTCCATCGGCTCCTCCACTGAAAACTACTAAACAGGTGGAATCTGATCTTGAAAACCTGACCACGTGGACAAAGATCCTCACCTCCTATCGGCACCAGTGAACTACACACACACACAGCATTGTAATGTCAACCTGCATGCCTCTGGTTACAAGACCCAAAAGGTTTAACAACAAAATGTATAATGTATTTGTGACTCCAATGTTAAAGAAAAAATTTGAGGAAGCTAGGAAAATCCAACTGCTGCTTCAAAGGAAAAGCTACCCCTAAAAATATTAAACATGGGGTGCTGTGAATGGGAAAAGTTTACTAGTTTGCCATCATGTGCGTCCCGTCAGTTTTGTGCTGTGGTTAGGAGAGCCTGCCTCTTGACCATTAAAATTCCTTACAGGAACTGTAACGATGTAGGTTGTCAGAAAAAGTGACAAAAAGACACTCCTATGGTGGCGGGGGGAGGCAGAATATCATTGATGATAAAGAATTTGACCACAATAAAACAATTTACTGTGTAATCTATTAAAATATGGAATTCCATGTTAGGGCAATGAGACTGAATTTACTGTGTGTATTTTCTGTCTTGAGAAACTGCTCTCCCTTTTTCCAATGTTAGAAGTTTCGAATATGCTTTGGTGCCACCCACTGGCCATAGGTGGAATTCCGTTTTTGGCTTAATCTCCTAAAGTAGGTCTCAAGTTTGTATTTTGTAATAGAGTATGTCTAAAAACAAAAGACAAAAAAACCTTGCATATATAAGATTCTGTTTTTTCTTATAAATATACTATATAAAAGCAGCATGAGAGTGGTCACAGACACACTTTGCAACAAAGTTTTAATTAGAATGTAAATTGTTAAATTATACTGTGCTTCCTACATATGTATAATTTTCATAAAGTATTTTGTAAAAACCCTTAGAATAAATTATTATGATTTAAATGTATTGTGAAATTAGTCTGACTTCCTATTTTAAATGAAATACTTTACATTAGGAATCTTATAATCTAAATTCCCCAGCAAGGCTAAAGAAATTCTGCTAAGCGAATATTTTTCCAGAGTCTTTATTACAACTCTGGACATAATATCCTCTAAGTGGGCAGTTTTGACTATTTTATTAAGCGTTTTTACTTTTTAAAAGTAGTTAAAAAGCTTTGAAGATGAGTTAACACTTATTCTTGAAAAGTTTTCCACAGAGACGTTTAATAAAAAGACAGTAATATAAAGCATTACTCCTCCTTAGGACCAAACTAGCTTGCCTTTCTCAAAACAAGAACTGAGTCCGCCGGTGTGGCTCAGTGGTTGAGTGTCAACCCATGCACCAGGAGGTCCTTGGTTCGATTCCCAGTCTGGACACATGCCCGGGTTGTGGGCCCGATCCCCTGTGGAGGACATGCAGGAGGCAGCCATTCGATGTTCTCTGTCATCTATGTTTCTCTCTAAAAATCAATAAAGAAAAAAAAGAACTGATTTAATGTGGGCCAGGAGAACCCTGGATGGTGGGGTAGTGTGAGATCTATAACTGGCATTTAACAAATGCCATTGAAAACAACTAGAGTATTTGCCTCCTTCCCCAAACAGATATTAGAACTTTCCACGTATTTGCCAATAAAAGTAACTAGACCAATGCCTTTCCCATTGTCTGTCAAGGTCTTTCAGGGAAGTGTTTAGTCTAAGTCTATTTCCTCTTCCTGAGCTGACCACAGGGAAGAGCAAGATGAGCTGAGGGGAGGCATACTTCCAAGGTCCGCCAAGAACAGTAGCAGAAGAGCAAATTCTGTTTCAGCTCCTACCACTTCACAGTACACACAAGCCACTTTCTTGGCCTTTTTTTCAGTTACCTGTTCAGCCACCTCCCAGCAGCCAGCCAGCTCTGAAGCACTGATGGGATTGGTTCTAGTATCTCTCCATCTAGGACTAGGGCTGCCTGCCTCCTTGAATATCCAGACCCTTGAACCAGAATGGATAGTAGAAACACCCATCTGCCCATAGCACTCCAAACTGCTTCAAGACATGTCACATTTTTTTTTTTTCTAAAAAAGAAAATATAAAGCATAATCTTAAATCTCACCCGACTACAAAAGAAAGGCCAACTGGGACTTTCATGTAATATAGAGTGTGGGCAACCTGAATTCTTTAGTGAACGCAAGTTGACAAACTTGAGCCAGTGGGACTCCTAAGCAAAGTTCCTACTAAAACTTTATTAAATATATATATTTTTTAAACTGGAAGCATCTCCTTGAACTGCAGATTTATGGCCTTTCTCTCCCTCCTTCTCTCTCTAAATTCAGAAAACTCAACTAGAAATAAGGTCAAAAAGGGGGATTTATTGCAAATATATTGAGTTAGCTCTCAGAATTAAAGAGGTTTTGCAGGAACCTGGGTTATTTTGGAGTCTCAGGCTGGTGCCAGGAACGTAGATACTGTCTCTCAGGGAGCAGGAAAACCTCACGGTTTCTTGTCTAAAAGCAGTTCTCTTTCCTAGGTTCAGCTTGAGAGATCTCTGGGAGAGACTGGCCAGGCTTGGGTCATGTCCCTCCCTACTGGACCACTCGTGTGGCCAGCAATGGATAGAGTAAGATCTTCTAATTGATGCTGCCTGGATTATGTGTCCACCCTATGGCCAGGGAGAAGTGATCCATTATCAGAAGAATAGGGTGTTATATAAACCTGGGTGCTGAAGAAATCAAGAGCATTTGTGTCTCCCTCAAGTGAAAACACTTCAAAATTCCAGTGTTGAAAAAATGAAGCAATATTTCAAAAAGTCACTGCTGACGCTTCCCAGAGAGGCCGACATTTTCCATCCACCATGACTGCTGCAGCTTTTGAGAAGGTAGTAAAGAACCCCATGGCCTGCTCACATGGCCTAGGAATCGACCAAAAGCATGATTACTGTTAGCCTAGGCTAAATTTTTCCAGAGAGACCTCGCTATGTGTACCAGGGAACTTGCTTGGACTCTTTCCTTATACATCTCTGTCATCTACATTCACCATACAATAAAAACCCTGAACATCTGCCTTCTCCTGTACTTTCATTCCCATTCTGCTTTGGGCTTGCTCTCCCATCTCCACTCCCAGGCTTATTCACTAATTCCACTAGTTTGTTTTATAAAACAAATGCCCCCACATATACGAGCCAATCACAGCATGTTCCCTTCACTTCTTTGGCTGACTTGTTCAAAAGAACGGGTTCTCCTTCAGCCTTAGGAAAAGAAGATTCACTCTACCACACTTAGTAGCTCAGTCAGGAGGTGGGATCAGGCTGCAGATCATTGCTCCCCTATTTAAATTCTTCGAGAGAAGTGATGTGCCTAATTTATCCATGATTACGTTAGCAGTTATCATGCAAAATTGCTGTTTTTCTATTCTCAGTCTCCATCATTAGGTTGCAATCAGCTTAAGAGCTGGGACTGGCCCCAGCCAGTTCTGCTCAGTGGTTAGAGCGTTGGCCCTCAGACCAGAGAGGCCCGGGTTCGGTTCCCGCTAAGAGCACGTACCTTGGTTGCAGTTTGTCTGTGTCCCCGGTTGACATTGTGTGGGTGGCGACCAATGTGTCTCTCTCACATGTATGTTTCTCTCTCTCTCTTCCTCACTCTCTCCCTCCTGCTTTATCTGAAAGATAAATGCAAAAATGTCCTCAGGTAACGATAAAAAAAAAAAAAAAGAGCTGGGACTGTGACCTTGGATATAATAGTTTCTTAGTATATGAACTGATGAGTAAATGAACGAATGAAGTATAAACAGAAGACCATGATTTTGGTATAAAAAAGATCTGGGTTTGAATATGACTCTACCACCTTCTCTCTGGATAACCTGGGGCAACTTGCTTGACCTTCCTGTGACTTAGTTTCTTTGTTCTCTGTAAATAATACAATGTGGATAATAATGCCTATCTTCCAAAAAGATTGTTCAGCATAATTAAATGAGAGAAGATATACAAATGCCTAGTACTGTGTAGGGTATATAAAAGAACTTTATAAGTAGTAGCTTTAAAAAAGACAGTAAAAGACTTAAAGGAAAATGGAGGAGACTCCTTGATCACCACTAGGAAGAGTGTTGCCTTGGAACTCTGGAAAGGGAATATACTGGTTATTTTCAGTCAAAAGTAGCTGAGAAAAAATGGTAGAACAAAAAGAAAACCATGCTAGAGAAGAACCAAAAGTCATTATCACTAAACTATGAGTTCTTTGAGAAGATGATGGTATCTAATGTATTAATATAGACTTAGTATCTAACCCTGCTCCGTACATTGCAAATGTTTGTTGAATAAATCAGTGAATGAATATTGATTAGGGTCTTGTGAGATTCTTAGCCTTGATAAGTAATCTATGGATTTAACATTATTTAAAATGATTTTAATATAGAAGAAATATAAAATATTTTAAATGTGGAAAATCTATTTCATCAAATATCATTGAGCATCCGCTGTATGCAGAAAGGGAAGGGAAGACATCTATAGCTCATCCTTAAGAAACAGCTGCTATTAAGATTTTGAGTATTTTTCCTTTTTTTTTTTTTTTAGGAAACATGTTCTGTGAATTCATTTAACTATATCAGACAACCATATAAGGTGATCAGCAAATAATTTCAATATATGTATGCCCATTTTATTTAAATGAAGAGGACTATTGTAATTTTCTTGTCCCTTGCCTAAACTTTACAAGTTCCATTTCAATATACAAAATTGAAATGCAAGAAAAAGTGAAGAAGAGAAAGAGAAAAGTTACAACTAAGTTTAATTCACACTTTTTAAGTCTTTGGAATCCACTTTCATAAAACCTCAATGTTTTATAATGTAAGTAAGTTATTAAAATTTGATTTCAGGAAATTTCCTTAGTCCTCCACCTTTCTTTTCCTGTACAGGCAAGAGACTCAGGTTTTGGGACATGATAACCTGATCTTTGAGACCAAAGGAAAAATCTGGAACTCTTCCTTTAGATCTGTTTTGCTCCCAGTGAAATCTGAAGCTTTAAAATCACCCATCTAACATCTATACTAACACCCAGGCATTTTCCTTATCATTATGACTTGAGAGCTAAAATGTGACACCAGAAACAGTGATTGATCAACAGAAATTGTCAATTCTTTGTTCTATGCTTTTCACAACATTAAGAGCATTCACTTATTTTTTTAATATATGCAATTCCATTAAATTACCTATGAACATGATAACGTTTAATGGCTGAATAATACTGTTATATGAAAATACAGCCAGTGTGGCTCAGTGGTTGAGAGTCAACCCATGCACCAAGAGGTCGCCAGTTTGATTCCCGATCAGGGCACATGCCCAGGTTGTGGGCCCAATCCCCGGTGGGGGAGGGTATGCAGGAAGCTGCCCATTGATGTTCTCTCACATCGATGTTTCTCGCTCTCTCCCTCTCCCTTCCTCTCTCTCTCAAATCAATAAAGAAAAAAAAATTTTTAAAGAAGAAGAAAATACAATAATTTCCTTAATATTTTCTCTTTTTGGACATGTAGGTTTCCAACTTTTAGTTTTTATAAACCACACTACAGTGACAAGTTTTGAGAAAACTTTTTTTTCAGGTAACATTCTGAGCAAAGATCTCCCAGAAGGGCAGTCATTAGTTTCAAAGCATAGAAATGTTAGACATTCTCAGTACATGTTGTGAACTGACTTTCACCAGCAGTATACAATAGTATCTCTCTCACTAGACCCTCACCAGGCCTCGGTAGTCTGAAAATAAAGGGGAAAGCTTTGAATAATTTGATAGATGAACTACTATCTAATTTTAACTTGTATTTACTGAATCACTGATGGGGTTCGATTCTTTACCATTTCTGTCCCCTCATCCGTGAATTTAATTGTTAATTTCTCTTTTAAGATGTTAAATAGCTTTATTTATTTGTACAACCTCTCTATAAAAATATAAATCTATTGTCTGTCATATTTATAGTGGATATTTTTCTCTAGTTTATTTTTGCTTTCAACATCCATTCAACACACCTTTATCTGAGTTTTCCCAATGTACCAGGCACTGGTCTAGTCATCAGGCATAAAACAGACACAGTCCCGGCTCTTAATGACCTCAGGGTTCAATAGGGAGAGGCAGGTGGGTAAACAGTGAGTGCAGTAAGGTTTTGACATGTTCCATTAGCAGGACAAATAGGCTACAGTGGACGCATTAAAAGAGGTGAGTGGTCAATTCTACATGTTGGGGCCAGGAAAGGCTTCACAGAGGAGATGAGTCTGAACTATAAAATACTGAGAGAGCTATCATACCAAGGGACAAGGTGGAGAAAGTCTTTCTAAGTGAAGAGAAAGAACACCAAGGGCAGGGCCAGAGGGCTGGCTGGTTAGGGGAACTTCAGTAGTTGGTTTGGGCAAGAAGCAACTACTATGTCACAATTGTAACAGAGGTCACAATTTTAAAAAAATATATATTATTGAAAATATTACAGATGTCTCCCCTTTCCCCCCATTAATCCCCTCCACCCCACTCCCACCCCTGCCCCCAGGCCTTCACAACACTATTGTCTGTGTCCATGGCTTATGCATATATGCATATAAGTTCTTTGGTTAATTTCTTCCTGCACCACTCCCCCTTCCTTCTGAGATTCGTCAGTCTGTTCTATGCTATTTAAATTATACACAATTTTTGATGTTCAACAAAGTGAAAGTAAGCTTTTCCTCACTCATCTTTTACCCCATAATGTTTAAACGGAGAAAGTTCTTCCTGCCCCAGAACTGTTATGGTTACCTTTATTATATTCTAGTTTCCACTTTTAATACTTCAATTTTATTTTACTCTTTACATTTAACTATTTAATTCATCTGGAATGGACATTATATGACAGCAAGCCTCATTTGGATCTTTAATGTTGAGCATATCTATATCATTCATTAAGTCTCTTTTTGTAACCTTATTTTGCTAATGAGTGAAAACAGGGAGTGATGAATATCACTCCACCTGGGGACAATGCTAAGGAAAACGAAGGAAGTTTCATTGGGATTTGCTCTTTTGCTGAACTATGCCAAACACTACAAATGCAAACTCACAGCCATTTAGGGTCCTGGCTCTCAGAGCACCACTGCTACTTGGAATTTATAGACTGCAGTTTTTTTTTAAGGAGCCAACTGTGTTTCCAAAGACAGTAATTTATTCTCATGACAACTGACGTGGGGAGAGGAAGAAGGAGTCGTCACACCAGCTTGATTTCTTTACTCCTACCAGAAATTAGGTGGGTCAGGTTTCCTGCCTGATGCTGGCTGGAAATCGAGTGGGGATGGCATCTCTCCTCTGTGCAGTTTAGGCTGGACTCTGGGCTGTGAGCTGAGAGCTGTGATTGGTTAGAAGGGCAAGCATAACCTGACCTGATTGGTTCTGGACTCCCCAGGTCCCCGTGTTGTTACTTCACAGCATGCTGAAGACCTATCCACCAATCACAGGGCTCCTTACTGGAAAAAAACAGCCGCTGGAGAGTGCCAGGAGACCCTAGCAACACTGTGGCTTTTGAAATCTGCGGGGGGGAAAGACTGTGGAGTCAGCCCAAAGTGGAGGAGAGCGCCCATGCCCTAGAATGAGCAGGCTCTCAGGACTGATGGACACCCCATCCTCTGAGGAACCCTTAGCTACACAAAACAAAGAACTGGAAAACCAAGAAGAAGACATGGAGTTTAAGGAACTGGATGGTCTGAGGGAAGCCTTGGCAAAACTGCGGGGACTGTCCGAGGAGGAGAAGGGCGAGAAGGCGATGCTTTGCTCCCGCATCCGCGAGCAGTCCCAGCTCATCTGCATCCTGAAGCGGAGGTCAGATGAGGCCCTGGAGCGCTGCCAGATCTTGGAGCTCCTCAACACAGAGCTGGAGGAGGAGAAGATCCTGGAGGCCGAGAAGCTGAAGGCCAAGAGTGAGCACGCCCAGAAGCTGGAGGATCGCTTTATGACCCTGGCAGCCAACCACGAGGCAATGATCCGCTTCAAGGACGAACACAAGAGTGAGAATGTCAAGCTGAGAGAGGAGAATGAGAAGCTGAGGCTTGAGAACAACAGTCTCTTCAGCCAGTCTCTGAAGGATCAGGAGGCCAAAGTCCTGCAGCTCACCACCAGGAGTGAGGCCCTGGCCAAGGAGCTGGAGACTCTGAAACAGAGGTGTGCCCAGAAGGCCCGCCAGGCACAGGCCCGAGAGAAGGAGCTGCTGGAGCTGCAGACCCAGCAGGCAAGCACCCACACCAAGGAGACAGAGCAGCTGCGCAGCCAGCTGCAGAGCCTCAAGCAGCAGCACCAGCAGGCCGTGGAGCAGATGGCAAAGGCCGAGCAGGTTCACAGCAGCCAGACCCAGGAGCTGCAGGCCAAGCTGCAGATCGTCACTCGGGAGAAAGAGGAGCTGCTACAGCTGTCCATGGAGAGGGGCAAGGTGCTTCAGAACAAGCAAGCAGAGATCCGCCAGCTGGAGGAGAAGTTGGAGACAGCAGATGCGGCCAGGAGACAAGCTCTAGAGCGGTTTGAGCAAGAAGCAGTAGCTGTGGACAGTAATTTGAGAGTCCGGGAACTTCAGCGCAAGATAAATGGGATCCAGAAGGCCTATGATGAACTCGTGCTTCAGTCTGAAGCCTTCAAAAAGCACAGCTTGGATCTTTTAAGCAAGGAGAAAGAACTCAATGCCAAACTCCGCCATCTCTTTCCATAAGGAAGTTTCACTTTCCTTTGGCCCCCAATTTAGAATTTAAATATTTGTGCCTTGGCATTGTGGCAAGCGTAAAAATGATTTTCCACTTATTATATTTTTAAGCACAAAAGGCAACTCAAAGAAAAGCTACTTTACTATGATGTTGTTCTTTTTAAACTTTGTAAGGCTAACACTAATTTTCAGTCCTGCTGCTTAGAATACATATTTACTAGATTTTGTTCTGTGCCTTTGAAATCTTCCTAAGTTTGCTATCAGTATCTCTAACTCTCCCATAGTATATATTTATTCTCAACCTCAGATATATTCATATATCCTACGATTTTAAATTAGCAGCTCCTATAGATTTAAGTGAATCTTAAATGTGCAATCAGATGTGCTATTGTGAAAAAGAATTAGTATAATTAGCTTCTGTAGATAGGTAGGTTTGTAGTCTCCCATAGTTGAGACTGCAAGCTATAACAGGTAACAGGTTACAAATAGCAAGGGAAACTCACAGAAAAAAGTGTCTGATTTTGCAACAGGCCAAACAATTGCTTGCTTCACCAGCTTTACAGCAGTACCTGTTTTACTTTATTTGCACTGGCTTGGAAAACAAAGATTGTGATCATTAAACAAACTTTATTGCAATAATTCTGTATGAGCAATAAGATTCAAATAAGTGGCCCTAGCTGGGTGGCACAGTTGGTTGGAGCATTGTCCTGTGTGGGTTCAATTTCCTGTCAGGACACAGTTCAGGTTCAATCCCTGGTCAGGGCGTGGCATGTACAGGAGGCAACTGATTGATGTTTCTCTCTCTCTCTCTCTCTCTCTCTCTCTCTCTCTCCCTGTCCCTTCCCTCTCTCTCTAAAAATCAATCAACATATTCTCAGATGAGGATTTTAAAAATTTAAGATTCAGATAAGTGCAATCAACCAGTTTTGGTTTTTTCTGCAAGCTTAGGTCACATTTAATTTTCTTGTTTGTTTGTTTTTTCCTTAATAAAAACAGGATTTAGAAGTACAAGAATGTAAATAGCAGCAGTTTCATTTACTAGTGTACAATATACTAACAGACAAAAGGCCCCAATTTGGGTAACAAGCGATAGTTGACTAGATATGAAACATATAGCAACTCATAGTGATTGTTTTGTTTTTACTAGCATATTTTTTATAATTAGCTTTTTCCTTTTTTCAAACATCTAAACAATGTATATATGTATACTTATAGCAATTCTGTAGGAATACCTGAATACGATATAATAAAAACAAATAATAGTTATGATATGGATTAATCTAAAGTTCTTAAAGAGGCAGCTATAAAAAATACACTTTATGCTTCCTTATTTCCCTATATGTAGTTGCTATATAAACATTATGAAAACCTTTCAAAACAGATTGTAGTAGTATTTTCTCACCCATTTGGTGTCAAGAGTGCCAAGAGTTACCTAATGCTTTGGATTTATTAAAAAATATCACTTGCTGCCTTTTTAATAAACAATTTTCAAGCATTACCTTACCTCAAGCATTTTTAAAAAATCTGTTTTCTCACAGTTCTATTAAGATTGCAGCATTAAATACAAATTTCAGGGAACCACATCACTGGCTTGAAAGGACTTCCTCTTACATGTTACCAAAGATAAGAATATAGGAGCCCACTTAATCATGGTCATTCTCTATTGAGCCCATACTATTTATCATTATGCTAAAGCACTTGAAATGGATTATTTTATTTAATCCTTAGGGCCATTCAAGAAGGTAATCATATTCATTTTTATTTCAAAAAGGAGGAAACTGGGATTCAGTAATTTGCCCAAAGCCACGTTGTCACTGTGGGAGCTGGGATTTTGATGACACTGCCACACTGAAAGGTTTGTTGACTGTCCACTGAGCGCCATGTGCTGGAGGTAGGCACTGAGAATAAGCATGAAGAAGCATGTTTTCTGCCCTGGAGGAGTCTAGTCCAAGGGCAAAAAACCAATTACATACAGTGCAGTGTGTTTCCACAGGGAGTGTTAGGAGATCTCAGTGGGTAACAAACTCCCCCCCCCCCCCCCCCCCACACACACAGAGCAGCCAACTCTGCCTGGGGGTAAAGGTTGGAGGGTAAAGAGGATTTTCAGAGATCACTAACACAGGAATCGATATACTAACTGGTTGTTAAACAACTAGTAGAATTTTGTTGTTGTTAATCCTTACCTAAGGGTATTTTGCCATTGACTTTTAGATAGAATGGAAGGGAGGGAGGGAGAAGGAGAGAGAGAAACACTGGTGTGAGACACACACATCCATTGTTTTCTTCTTGCTCATGCCCCCACCAGTCGGGGATCAAACCTGTAACCCAGGTATGTGCCCTTGATTGGGAATTGAACCTGTAACCCTTGAGTCTGCAGCCAACACTCTAACCACTGAGCAAACCAGCCAGGGCAACTAATGAATTTCATCAAGTGGAGAAAAGGGAGATAGGTTTGAGACAGCAACATGTGGGAAGTCATGGAAGTCATGGAAGTCATTTATTCTCTAAAATGTCCAGAATATTTGGGGAAATCATAAGTAGTTGGCAGGAGGTATGGAGAAGCATGTCTACAGATAGAAATGGAAGAGTAGGTTGTGAACATACTATAGGTAATCTTGAAAGCCAGGCTGGGTCCTTATGATGGGGAGGGGCGAAGGAGAGGTGCAAGCGCACAAATAGGAGCCACACACCAGCCCTCCTCTTCCCACCCAGGTTCTATGGCTCCACCAGGGGCCTGGTGTGCATGGTACCAGCGCCCCTCCCTTTCCCCACTCCTACACCTGCCTGTCCAAGTGTTCAAACTCCACCCATTTGTCCCAGTCTACTTTCTGGTGGTGGTCTCTCCTGCCCAGGTTTTAGGCACAGCTTTCAAGAAGGAAGAGGAGGCTCCTGTGCAGAGGCCAAGTGAGTCCTGGAAGCAGGCTGAGGATCATTCGGTAAGGGAATCTTTGGTCCTGGTACTCAGGTGTGGTCTGGTAGAGGACTTGGCCCCAGGGACTCCTCTTTAGATAGGGAAGGGGGTTCTGGGTACAAACGAAGATTCTCAATTGCTCAGGTCTAAGGACAGTACAATTCAACATCATACTCAGGAGTTTGGATTAGGTTGAACCATATAAAATTGCCATTTTGTAGGTCACAAATTATTAAATCTTTCATACTGTTCAATCGACTACCCTTTTGAAAGACATTAAAAATGGGTAATGAGGATAGAAGGACAAAGGAGGATGCCTAGAAAATGACAGAGAAAAAGAATTCACAACATAGACTAAGAAAGTGAAAGGAGTGTAAATCTGTGATGTGCCAAGTGCAGTTCATGTCACCCTCATCCCAACTCTTCAGGGAGCTTCAGTTATCACTATTTGACAGATGAAAAAGGTGAGACTCAGAGGGTGACTTGCCCAAAGCCAGGGAGCTTAGGGATGGCAGGAGTGAGGTTTGAACCCATGCCACTCTGGCAGGGTCAGCTTCATGGGTGTGCCACCTGCATAGGGACACTGTACTTGCTTTAATGCTCCACTGCTGCTGCCTTGAGATTTTTAAAAAATTTTTTTCCTTTATTAATTTTAGAGAGAGATGAAGTGAGAGGGAGAGAGAGAAAGAAACATTGATGAGAGAGAACATTGTTTTGCTGCCTCTACATGCCCCCCACTGGGGATTTGGCCCACAACCTGGGCATGTGTCCTGACCAGGAATTGAACCGGTGACCTCTTGGTGCATGGGTTGATGCTCAATCACTGAGCCCCACCGGCCAGACTGCCTTGAGATTCTTAATCATTGTGTTTATTTCGTGCTGGGCACTGCAATTTATGTAGCTGGGCCTGCTTTTTGGCTGTAAAATCCATGCTTCTTCCCCCACTATACAAACTACCTTCTAATTGGCCAAAATGGTATTGCCTTTTTTCTATATTTCACAGCACTTTGTATTCCGTTCCCTGAGTGCTTAACTTGCATTTAGTCTGTGACCCAGAGTCAAATTCAGGGATGAGCAACTAGTTTTGTTATTGTGGTCTGCTGATCTATAAAGTGACGCTTGGCACTGGGCCAAATTGGCACAATGTCAAGGGACTGCTGCCAAACCATTGCCCTTGAGGGGAGATCTAAAAGACAAAACAACAAAGGTCCTTTCTAAAGCACACTTATAGCCCTAGTAAATTTTTCTGCAATATTCCACAAGCAGTAACCCTAAAATGTTAAAGTCAGCAGAATAGAGCTTCTAAAGCCAAATAATGTATGAGTAGTCCTGTGTAGCTGACAAGTGTAATCTTTTGTGTTACCTGTATTGTAGGGCCTTCAGTGTGCCTCCAAGAACTTGTCTGGTCCCCCCTCCCCTGCCCCCCCAAAATCATGAAGAAAGTAGAAAAAAAATGAGAGCTACAGGAAAAGTGAACTGACTGCATGATGTTCACACAACAGTGGCCCTGCTTCAGTTAGTGAACAGTAATTGCATTTTAATTTGTTTCTAGGAAACAAAGTTATCATAGAAAATCCATTTCTCCCCAAAGTCACTATATTAAAACTAAATAATAATTTAAAGAAGATTGTTTGAAGGAGTACCTGCCCAGGTGCTTGCTGTTCTATCCAGCCCTCGTTGACTCAGCTACTGTAGAGTGGCTGTGGCTGAGTCAGTGCAGGAAGGATTCTCTGCTTCCCACTTTGGCATGACCAAGAGAACTAGGTAAACATTTGAGATACTACATCTTGGCACATGGATAAAGGAAAAGGGACCTTGACCCTAACTGCTCTCCCAAAGCTGCCCCTGCCCCTTCAGGTGACTTGTCTTCCATTGTCATTGGCCAAAATTGGACCATATGCAAACACCTTAGCTAAACATCTTCATGGGGACTGTGCAACCATGATTAACCTGGGCCAATTAGGATCTTACCCTGGATGGAAATGAGGCCTGTCTATGCCACAGAGTGGAAGGAGCCACCAGATGAAAGCAAAGCTGGCCACCAACAGTGTCTGTTATACCACATCTACTTGTATTGACAAGGCCTACCAGGCAGGGA